TTTTCTTTCGTTTATTCCTTCCGGGCAATTCGATTCACTCGAACACTTTATTCTCAAACTTTCGAAACAATGATTTCAACGATAGGAATGTCATTAAATTTGTTCTGAATTAGTTCTCGAACTTGATTGACGATTTGTTCCTTTATCGAAGCATTCTTTTGCTTTTGCGTCCAGTCGAATGTGTTCAAATGTTCGTGTAACCAATTCGGCATCATCAACGTGAAGTCAAGATCGAAACTCATCGCTGTTCGATACGTACGGATCGTACAAGATTCAAGTTTCAAACCATTTTTCCCCGCAGTTTCTTCCAGATACTTTCTCGATCGTTTCGATTTGGCCAATTTCGAGTTCCTTGTTGAGAAATACTTCGGATAGTTCAACGATGTTAACACGTCGTTGAAACATTTCTCGAACTCTTCGTCTTTTTCATAATCATCAGTTTCATCGAAGGCGTGATACCATAATGTATAAAGGAAATAACCAGTTTTAGGTTTAAGTAATTTCGATATCACGGGATATATCGTATCTTCGGACATGAGATGCATTGAAGCATTGCAGAGAATGAAATCGAAAGCATTTCGCGGAATATTCGATAGTTGTAAGCAATCTTCAGCAGCGATTTGATAAACATGAGGAGTTCGGATCTTCTGTCGAGCGTGTGTGCACATTTGTTCAGCTGGCTCGATAAGATACAATGCAGAAGGAGATAAATGTAGATGATCGATCAATAATTTCGAAATTAAACCGGTTCCTGCAGCTAAATCCATGATACGAATGTCCTCATCGTTCATTTTTCGATGTCTTTCAACAAATTTAATCATTTCCATCGCCATATTAGTAAAGATGGGATATTTTCCAATGAGAATTTCATATGCATCAGCCCGCGTATGCCAAGAGTCGATAGTTCTTTGTCGTTCATGGTCAGTCATGATATATTCGATCGAAAAAAAGAAAAAGTTGTCATAGATTCGATTTATTCGGAAAAAGAAATTTTATTAGCTAAGCAAAACTTTAAATTGTTTTTATTAGGTCATTTCACAAAAATAAAATCAATGAAATGATGTACGATGAAAGAAAAATCTGTGGGAAATTATCAGATCGAGCGATGAGATTGGTATTAAATTCTCAGTTTATCTGTGTCAGGTTTCAACTGAATTTTGTTGGGCTTCGGCTTCGATTCAATTGATGGATGTGGTGAGGGCGGGTTGGTGATTGCTTTGAGAAGATGTTCGCGCATCGTACGAACGAAATCTTGGCCGAATTCCGGGTAGCGAATTTGCGTGTCTTCGAATAACTGTCGAAGTTTTTGAAATAGATCAACACCATTTTGTGAGTCACGTGTAGAATGATTACCGGAAGGCGAAAGATTATAACGAATGGAAAGCTGAAAAAAAGAATAGTTAATAAGGAGCAAATTCTTTTCCTTTTTATTTCATATTACATCATTAAATATTGATTCTAACGATGGATTGAATTGATTCTGTTCGAGATTCTAAAAGATATATGAAGGAAAGAATTGGAGATTATTCTGTCTTTAAGGAAATGCCACACGTACTGGATTGGATGGTAGTTTTACCGTCGGAACCCATGGTTCAGCTTCTTCTTTGGATCTAGGTGAGAATTAGAGGCTAAAAAGATCTTCATGTTGAGGTTGTAACTTACTTGTCATCATCGGAACTAGATTCACCATCGGATCGACCTCCGTGTTCATGTGTTTTCTTCCAATGTTGAAAACGGGAGATTAATTCGACCAGATATTTCGTTGGTTTCGTCGTCGAAACGAATTTCATTCGACGTAGTTGCGACGCGGTGGGTCTCTAATATTGAACGAAGATAAACATGGAAAATATCTTTCAAATCTCCCTACATGTTCAGGATTCTTTTGTAGACAAGCTTCGACAAATTCTCGAAAACTCTTCGAATGATTCTCCGCTAATTGTGGTGGTGGAGTTTTGGGTATTTGAAACAACACACGCATTGGATGCAGATCCGCATATGGTGGTTCGCCTTTGACCAATTCAATCGCAGTGATACCAAGTGACCAAATATCCGCCTAAACGATTGATGAGTAAATACTCTCATCTCGATTACGTAAGTCATCAGTCTGCTTACAATCAGCAGAGACATAGAGTTCGATTGAAAACATTCTTTCTCTATATTGAATTTTTTTTAATGATCTTGATAACCTTTCTTCTTCCCTATTCTCGTGTTATTATCAACTTATCTACCTTTTCTACTTTTCATTCGATCTCGCCGATGGACATGATGTAAAAAAAAAGCGAACACACACACGTAATTAACATATGTTCATCTGTTAACGGCTCACGAATGCATCGTTAAACAGGATAGCGATCGTGATTATCTCTTGACATGACCAAGACCATTCTCTCTGTCCGTATCTCTCCGAACTCGGAGTTTGTGTCATGATGTAAGTGACGTCTAAACTGAATTTGATTTTTTACACTTAACTGTCATTATTGATAAATCTTCTTACGCAAGAAACTTTACATGACAGATGAATACAAAGAAAACATTCACTCGATTGATCAATTACGAAAAACTTCTCATTGAAAAACGCAAGCGAATAACCTTCATACTCCGGTGATTAGTATCAATTTTGTCAACACCAAGACGCAGCAGCTGGTTTTGCACAGAAAAAAGTTTCTTACCGAATAGTCGTACTTGTGTTGTAAGATGACTTCGGGTGACATCCAAAACGGAGTACCAACGAATGTACTGCCTTTGTTCATGGATTCAGTCAACTGTTTTGCAACACCGAAGTCTGCTAATTTGACATCACCATGTTCCGAAAGAAGAACATTAGCAGCTTTGATATCACGATGAATTTTCTTTTCCGAGTGAAGGTATTCCAGGCCTTTGAGCACTTCACGCAAGATAATGGCGATATTTTGTTCACTGAATGGGCCAGGCTTCATCAAATCAAGTGCCGAACCTCCACCGAGATATTCCATCACAATCCACAGTTTCGTGTCCTGAAATAGAGAGAAGCCATTGCACACTTGCATCGTTTCGTATACGAACTTTCAAATAAGAACCGAAATATTTCGTTATATACGGCGAATTACATTGTGATAAAACTTGAATTTCTTGTTGAATGTCTTCGATTTCATCCTCGGCCTTTTCTAAATCGATTATTTTGATTGCTACGATATTCGATGTTTTGATATTAATGCCTTTATAAACTTCCTAGAGATGAGATCGACGAAGTTCGGTAAAACAATGTTTCCTGAGTCGAGAAAGTACTTACTCCGAACGATCCACGGCCGATGTGCTCGAGACGTTGAAAGACTTCTTCGGGCTCGATCTTACCCTACAGAAAATTTCTTAAAGATCAATTTGCTAAGGTTATTGCTTACCTGTTTTTGAGAATTTTGTGGACTCTCAGTCATTGATACGAAAGGAAACGAAAGACTTCTGAAAGATGAGTGGAGGATTTTGTTTTGTCGTCTATTTACATTTGTGTATCTCGAATAAACCTAAAGGAGTAGCAACGTCAAACGAAATTCAATCCGACATCAACGAAAACATGTCTGTCTCCTACTCGTTGTTCGATTGTATGCACGAAGAAATGAAGAGAAATCAATATTTGAGCTTATTCGTTCTTGATTTTGAATTAGCAAGAAAGATACTGTACTGTAATTGATCAATATTCTGATTGGTTGACTGTCTACACCATACAATAACCATCGACTAGTTGATCGATCAGTTATCTGTTTCATTTTGAGGAAAACCTTGATTGTATCGAAAGAAAATCAGATTCTTCCGGGTCGTTCAATACATCGTGATTCAGATGGGCGAACAGGCATCGCCTTCCAGAGTAAAATGAGAGCCGGATTTCAGTAAAGACATGTCAATTGTTTTTACTATTCGTCGTACTCGTGAGAAGTTAAACAGGAACTTTTTATGAGTATTGCTTTGTCAGAATGCGAAATATCAAGGTAAATTTATGATTTTCATTAATAGATAAGATTCTCGTTCCATAAGAAATGATAATTATTGACATGTAACATGTGGAAGAGATATCACTATTTGACAGAACATACGACGCTATATTGTATCTGTGTTGTAGATGTAGAAAAGAAACATCGTTCTTGGTATCATTGTTTGTATATACATTTAATTCGTTCGTGAACTCTGCCCAGGCCGATCATTCCCATACTCGGATACGATCGAATTCTATCGCGATTTGTCGATCTGGGTGTACGTATCAACAAACAAACAAGTGGATGGAGGCAGTTGTCAGCAGTGTTCGTAAAGTCATACGTAGATACAACGAACATATTCATTAGGTGCATAGGACGTTTAACAACGACCAGCCGTTGACATCTTGTTGTTAGGGTATTCAATGAACTAATATAATATTCCTTATTAAAAGGAAGTCATGTCGAACGCATTTTTGTTCGAACACTCGATTTTTGAACGTATGCACAGGAATGACGTGAAGTTTGTGCGTATAATTTCGAAGTGAAGTGTATCTCTGTAAAAACTTTGAGAACGAAATTCTGATTGGTTAAGGATCCGGACCAAACAAAAAAGTTTGAGGTATTTGTTTATTGAATTCATATCAATCAGCATGTTGAAAATGTTGAAAGAATAGGCAGCATGACTCAGTAATTAGCTAATTTGTTCGATCGATGTGAAAACTCCACCGCAGTATAAATAGGGACTTTTTCCAGAACTTCAGTATGTGTTATTCGACGAAATCAAAGATTAGTTGGAAAGGTACAGAGTTTTGTTTCTTCATCTATAGAATTTACTAACGAAAACGGAAGCAAAAGAAGCGAACAGTTTTCACATGATTGTTTCTTTTATTTTATTTTGGATTGAACGAAGCTATGCTTCTATTTGCTCGAATTTCCACACTCTATTCCATTCGTCATTCTAGTCGTAGCCGTGAATTCTTCGCTCAACTCAAAAAACTCTATCGTTCGACCACATTAGATCTATTTATGGCTTCGAATCAGCGTACTTGCTTTGTCTTTGATAAAGACGATCAAACGAAAGTTCTCATTCAAATGGCCTATGATATACCGTCGACAGCAGTACGACGAAAATTTAATTTATTACGCTCGGTTGATGAGTCGGTTTCTCAAACGATACGTCGTTTGACTGCTAATATCGAGCAAGCGGCAAAAAAGAAAAATAAACGCCGCGATAAGCAGAACAATAAGACTGATTCACCGGTCCAACCAGAGCCGATCGTGATTCAATTATTTGATGAGAATAATCAACTGATTGATGAAACTCAACTAAATAAACAAGCTTGGTTGAGTTGTCGACGATTGGTTATCAATGAACAGTCGTATCAAATTGAATACAATGCGCCTGGTTAATACTTGTACTTCAGGAAACTCATTGACTACGTGAATTCTTCTAGCTTTGATCAAATTTCGATTTCCGGAAATAATTATGTCGAATACCATCACGACCGCAGTTGTTGAACTTGATTATGGTGATCCGGAACATTCATTATTCAATTGGTATGTTGCGGATGAGGTGAAAACTGAAGTGGCTGATGAGCTCGAAGAAACTGCTGATGATCCACAATGGATACATGTTCACACAGGCCCCTATTGTATCTTTCGCGATGAACATGTCAATAAATTCGTGCGTCTTGCCTGCTTACCACGAAACAGCTCAGCGCGAACGGGCATGCAAGCAGTTCATATTTCCAAGACACGAATTATTCCATGTCCAAGTGATCTACCAATGAATACAAGGCATCAATTAACTCAAAACTTTCTTCCAATCGATTCCAACTCGTACGAACTGTCTTTTTCTTTTGATTCTCATAAATTTTTCTCGTTTCTAGACTTCGCGTAGTTTCATATAACATCCTCGCAAATGGGTATGCAGCATCGACCGGTGCAGCTGAAATCATGTATCCATATTGTCCTGAAGATCATCTCAGTCATGATTATCGCAAGCCACTTCTTTTGAAAGAAATCTTAGGTTATCACGCTGATTTGATTTTCCTACAAGAATGTGATACGAAGTTCTACGAGCGTGAACTTTCGACTGTATTGAAGCTACATGGATACTCAGGTGATTTGAAGATAAAAAGCGAAAGCGTACAAGAAGGTGAAGCGATCTTTTATCGAAATGAGCGATTCACGTAAGAATTCTCCTGGAATAGCTCATTCATTCATGTTCAAAACTTTCTTTTCAGTGCAATCAATACCCACCATATCAGATTAGGAGAACATTTACGTACTTCACCGCATATGGAACGTATCCGACAATGCACGTCACTCGCACCTAATGTGAATGCACATTTATTAGAACGAAACACTGTATTACAAGTGAGTTAAAACGATGCGAGGAAATACGAGTATATTGAGTGATGTTTTAGGTTTTGGCATTGGAACCTAAAGGACAATCGAATGAAGTCTTTCTCATGTGTAATACTCATTTACATTATCATCCTCGAGCTGACATTGTGCGATGCTTTCAAAGTTTGATTGCGAGTGAACATATTAAAGAAGTGAAAGATTTCTATGAACAACAAGTAAATGAATTTTTCTTGCAATCATCTATTTGCATCGCGTCTTTTAGAATAAAAATGTCTCCATAATCTGGTGCGGGGATTTCAATTCAAATACAACCTCACTGGCGTTTCATCTGCTCTTCTCAGGAGCTCTTTTGCGAGATCCAAATCATCGCAGCTATACCGAAGGTACGTACTACAATCTTCAGAGAGCGATCAATCAATGTCTTCTCATGTAGACTATATAAGAATAATAAAAGACTTCGATTATAAACTCCCGCTTGAACTGAGCACTTATTCGAACTATTCTTATACCAACTACATGGTATCGTTTCACGCCGTTATCGATCACATCTTCTTCGAGACGAAAAAGTTCAAATTTCAACGATGTATACCAATGCCAACTGATGCAGAAGTGACAGAATTTACGGCTTTACCATCGTGTAAAATTCCGAGTGATCACTTAGCTCTTGTCATGGATCTTGAAATGATAAAATAATGCTCTTTGCATTTGTGATACTCTTAATAAAATCTTCCGTTTTGTTTTCCTATCCGATTTGTTTTATTTCAAAAACAATATTGCACTAGGTGCTCTTGAAAATCTTCCTCATCGTTGTCGATGATATGCAAACTGATAACCACTGTCTTGCCGTACTGAAAACAACCTAAGTATTTTGAGAGGTCATGATTGTGTCGAACTCTGCATTTCAGCGTCCTCTATTCTGAATTTGTCATTCACCATTCATATAAAGGCAAGTATCTTGAAATAGACGCATGTCGTGCGATTAGATACGGTTTTTGCTTATTTATTTCATACCTTTTAGTATCATAATCATAACAAAAATGCCTCAAGAAGTAAATAGTTTAATAACTTCTCTTTTATCTTATTTTGTAACAATTTTTCATCGATAGGACTTACAAGCCCAAGTTGCTTTTGCTGAAATCAATAAACGTGCTCAAGCACAGCCAACTCTCGTGAAAAAAGTTGGTGCTGTTATTGTTTTCGACATCACAAAAGGTGGAAACGTACAACAGAGCTGGAGTAAGTCGATTACATTCTATCAGAAACGATTAAACGTTATGTTTTTTTTAGCTATCGATGGTAAACAAGGAACCATCTATGAAGGTAAACCAAAAGAAGGTGCCACTGCTCAAGTGACAATTACCGTCGACGATGATGATTTCATTCAGTTAGCAACAGGTCAAGCTAATGCACCGGCTGTATGTCGAAACTTGTTTGTCGAAGTCATTTAATGCGATATACTTTTTGTTTTTAGCTTTTTGCAAAAGGCAAACTCAAAGTAAAAGGCAATGTCATGCTAGCGCAGAAATTATCCACACTTTTCAAAGAACAATCGAAATTATAAACAAACGAAGAAAAAGTCACCTGTGATTCTTTTTACTCGATGTTCATGTGTGTGTGTGTGATGAATGCATTCTTTCTTCTTTTTGTCGATTAAAACTATGCGATTTGATCAGAACGAATTTCTTTGCGAAAATTTCATTCAACTTTGAACGGTTACATCTGTAAAAGATACTTGAGGATGAAATCAATCCTCTCCTCTCGTTTTAACACTCCTATGTTAGTAAAACCATAAAATAAAGGATTTCATTAATGTTCACTTTGCGATTATGTGTTTGAAAGGAAAAAACGACGTGTCATATGATCTGAAATAGAACATGAAGAATGGAAACGGATCTAATTGCAATAGTATCAATATTATTGTTGATTATAATACTTTTACTGGGCTTCATTATTGTCCTAATCATTATTTCATATCACTATTCTCCATTGAGACGGTTCTTGCGTTCTGATTGTGTGGAAGAAGTAAAAAAAATGCTATTTACACGTATCTCGATCAACATCAACAAATGACAGGTAGGTTTATTTGAAAATCTTTTCAATAAGTGCACTTGAGAGTGAATGAGAAGAGAAAAATTCACGCCTAAAACAAATAGAACTCAAACAAAGAATATTGGAAACCGTATTATCAAGTGTTCAAGCAATGTTTCTGATGAGTTCATCAAAATGTCCAACTGAGAGATCGTCTGATTCAATCTATTCGAATTCACTTGCTCGTTTGATCATTCCGAATTGGAGAAGACAGAGAGAGAGCAACAAAGCAGAAGAAGGCGACTGTGAAGAAAGAAATCATCTTGTGATCATTTGTCTTGTTCTTCTTACAGATCGGATTGTGTTTGTCATCGTCTCTTTATTATTCGTTAAGAATTCTCTTCAACTTTTTCTTTCTCTTCTTTAACTCAGTCGCTTACTCGATTTATTCTCTCTTTATACGAATAGTGACGAGGGTAACAGACAAGTTGCAATTGAAGATTGACAGAACGGATCAGTGAGTAATCAGACGATAGGCACGCATAAACACATACAGTTATTTTCTTTTGTCGATTATGAGTACTAGTCGAAATCAATGGTCTTGGCGAAGTTGTTTCGCCGCTTTTAAACATAATAAAAAGTCGAAGAAACACAATCGAACTCAATCGGCAAAGTAAGCGATTTTCATCAACTGAGAAAAACTCTTTCTCAGTCGACCTTCCAACGTATTTATTTTTGAAAATTTAGTTTACAAAAAAACGGGCATACACAAACAAAACAATTGTCAACTGTAAACGAAAATTCCAATCTATCGTGCGTATCATCAAACATAAACTTGACGGATGAATCAGTTGATCAATTTACGGCACCGAGTTCGTGTATTGTCAAAGTTGATTCGAATGAAAAGCAATCAGTCGATGAAGACAGCATTCAACAAATCGATATGAATTCACCATTGATGAATCAAACTTCGCTATTATCAATACGACCAGTACAATTAGATGCGATTGTTGAAGACTCAAATGAAGAAAATTCCGATGGTCACGAGGAAATTATTTCGGCAAAACAGTAAAATTTCATCAGAAGAAGAAAAGCAAATATAACCGAACTTCTCTTTCATTTAGATTATGTTGCGATCGGGATATTATCACTGATGCCAACACACTTTATTCTCGTTTGTTCGACTTGAGTCAAATGAATCATGTCAAAACTCAGTTCAGAGAAAATGGCAATTTACTCGGTGAATTCTCTCAGCAATTGGAAAAATTAAAAGTGAAAACTAATGACATCGTGCGAGCGAGTGCTCAAATGCCACGCGATGCTGAATTGCTCGAAGCACGGTAATGTCGAGGAAAAGAAAGAATATGTATGTATAAAGTAAATCTATTTTTTGTTTTTCTTAGATATTCATCGCTAGTGGCCACGATCGAAAGTCTTTCAATCTTACTACGAATTGCTCAAATACCTGCTTGCCGTGCATTAGTGAATCGTTTGTTTTTCTCGATTGAACAACGTACGGAACAACTTAAAAAACTTGTTGAACTTACATTCATGTCGTTATATAACATCAAACAACGTTCAGATTCTTGCGATGATGATTTGTCATCATTTAGAAGCGCTCTGTCGTCATACGAACATCTTTTAACAACATTCTCATAAGATGTGCATGTCTTTGTATTCTATGTTCTTTTATATTTTGACTTTCTCAAAAAGAATCTCACTTCTTGTTTAGCATCAAAACGCTAAGTGTGTCTGTTTTGTTCTATCATCCCATGTGATCTTAATGATACATAGCCAAAAGGAATGGCGTTATGTCCTAAAATAGATTCTGTTTTTTCCTCTTTGAGGAATATCGATAGTATAAACTAACGAGACAGATACTTATTTGGTATTGATTATTCGAAGAAGCAAACACGAGACCCTCCGGATCGAGATGACCTTAATGATATGGATTAGTTTTTGTCTTCTAAGCTGTTTGATGATAAGAAATGTGCGCATGAATTCAATCTGTGATATTTTGAAAGAGTCTGCAGGTAATGAAACTATGGAGATTAATAAATCACCAAGATTACAACGTATCAATGTACTTTGTAATGCTATGCATAAGACACGAATTATACCAGACTTTGATTTAAATCAGATCAATTCGGGTACATATGATCTTTTTCAAAGAAGTCAATGGAGAGGGTTTTATTTAGAAATTGAAGCTGATCAAATCTTGGAACGATTCCGCCGTGCTCGAGGAGGAGGAGGACGAGGTGGTGGCGGTGGTGGACGAGGTGGTGGTGGTGGACGATCCGGCGGTGGTAGATCTGGTGGTGGTCGATTCGGGGGTAGTAGAAGTGGGTCAAGAATTTTTAGTGGTATATCAGTCTTTTACGTACTATATTTTCACATCGATTCGACTTTTAGGTAGCCGATCATCATCATCAAGAATCTTTAGTGGTAACTGATCAATCATAATGCTGTTCTTTTTATGTTCTACTTCGTCTGATTGTTTTAGGTAGTAGTCGAGCATCCTCATCAGGCCGTTCTGGACTCTTTTCTCGTAAATGTGTTTGACCTATCACATAATGAAAGCATTTCTTTTTTCCAGGTAGTAGCAGCGGCAGTGGTGGAACATTCGGCGGTGGAGGCAATCGAGTGCGTTCAGGAATTCGATCTATGCTACGAGGATCGTCGGGCTCAAGTTTGTATTCTTGTCTGAAATAATCGATACCATGGATACAAATTCGTTTATTGAAGGAGTTGCTACTGGTGCAAGTGGAAGTAGTTCTAGTTTTGGTTCTCGAATTCGTAAGTTCATACGTTACTTGGTGTTCAGTGACAAACAGAACTGATCAATTTTTCTAGGTAAAATCACACATGGCGCTGGTACCGGTAGTTCTAGATTGGGAGGACGTCATTTTAGTATTGGTGGCTCTGGTGGAAGCATATGGGTAAATCTAATTTCGACCCTAACGACTTCTTTGATCAATTTGCGTCGACAAATTTTCTAGTCACGTTCGGCCAAAACGTTCATACCACATGCCGCTCGCTTTGGCAAACGATATTATCAACGACGAAAATACAATCAAGGCGTGTACGCTGGTGTTGGTTATTATGCAGGAAGTCGAGTAGGTCACCATGGACCCTATTATACACATGGTAATCAAAGAAAACATGTTATTTGTTGTTGTTCTAGTGAAAGCTACTCTCGAATTTTAGGATACTATGGTTATCCACCTGTGTCAGAACATCCTCCAAACACAATTAATGGTACAAAACCAGATGTGTTTTATTGTATTCAAGAAGATCTGAACACAACGTTGGTCAATACGACATTGGACAAAGATGGATTCGGTGTTTGTAATGTATCTGGTAAATTAGTCACTTGTCCAATTGAAATTGAATGTAAACTCTCCGAAGCCGATACTTGTTGTGAAAGTAATCAATCGAGAATTCTCCTTTTTTAATGTTTCATCCATTTCCAATTTAGATGAAGAAGGTACACCGTTTTGTTGTGGTGGACCCATGCCTCTAGAGTACATTACTCAATACGGTGGATATGCAGATGATTGGAGAGATTCTGCTGAGACTTTCGATAAAACGTAAGACAAAAACGTCTTACTTCGAAACTAAAATATCTGAAAACTTTCTTAGGTTTAATCTAATCACTATGGTGATGATTTTTCTCACAACGATTTGCTATTCAAAATGGTCTCGTCGTGTTGAATAGATATTCTTCGTACGAGCATTTATTCAATTGATGTTGTTGAAACAAAAACATTTTCAATTATGATGATAGGCGTGCATACTATATACTGAAGAAATAAAGAAAGTTAGATAGAGAGAGAGCTGTGCTATATAATATCAATATTCATCAGTTCATTTAATTTGCTTGTCGTTTGCGAGCAAGAGCATATGGTAGACCATATAATGATGATAACAGTTCACTCTTACGTTTTGTATGCGTATACACGTCTTGATTTTCGCCACTGTTGTCGTCGCTAGCTAATTCATCATTGTCACCAAGACGAAGATATGCGATGTGAGATGGCTGACCGTTTTTGTAAATCTAAGAAAAGTGAAAACATGAGCTATCTTCATCAATTTGAAAACATCCAATACAAACATTGTGCACAGCTCGACTTTCGGCCTGATTCGGACAGAATGTTGCCAACGTAATAAATAAAATCATTAACATACTAAGCAATTTGAACATGGTCATTGCAACAGATCGAAAAGTATCGATTTATCTAAAATAAAACACAAATATTCACTAACCTCCTACACATTTCTCGCGATATGAAATAAAAACTCCAAAAAAAACAATCAAACATTCTGTCTGTCTCTATTTACTCGATATTATAGATCATCTGGTTGTCACGCGAGCAAATATTTTCCATAAACAAAGTTAGACAGTGTCCTTTTTCTTAGATCACACGCAGTGTTCACCTGATGTCACAGTATTCCCACATCTGAATAAATGAAAATGTCCACGTTGATATAGGATCTCTTAATTTGATTTCTAATCGACGCAAAATGAGTTACTCACTATGTCAAGTTTGTTCCTGTTCTCATTTAATTAAATCGGACTCATTTAATTTGAATCCTAGTTTGTAGAAAAACAAACAGTCCTGACAACAATCTCACTCGGAAACAAGTCTAATAGTGCACAAGTTGTTAGCTTTGTTAGTTATATATATATATATAGAGAGAAAAGCTAATGAGGAGGCGAAGACGAGAGAGAGAGAAAGAGAAAAAGGCTCATACAGTGTATTCAATATCCTGGATGGTTTGTTTTCCCAAATAGAAATTAAGATTTTAGTCTCGTTTTCTCTTCCTTTCTGCATCATTAGAACATTCACTGATAAGACAAGCGATCAGTTCGATTGGGATCTTTTCATTCAAACAATTGCCAAGTAAATCAGTAAAATCCAACGTGATTAATCTTTTTCAACGTTCCATAACTAATGACATGATCAGATGAAATTTTTTCACGAATGGGCTCGCATAATAAAAGGCCAAGTACGAATGAAATCTCAAACGATAGATCAAGATTGTCAATAGTTTTCTACACACAACAAAAAAACAACACTGATTTAGTTAATATTCATTTATTCAAATGGATTGGACGCGCTCTCACATCACTCGTGTCAAATTAACTTGCAGTACCACTTTTCACCGACACTGTACATCGCTGACCTAACTGATTCGAGTGGAAGAGACATTCAGACGTTCTGAGACGAAAGAAATGCTTTCGAAACCCACGCTCTCATCTCCTGAAGATCTTTTCCAATAATTGATACCAAAATGACAAAGTAAATACACTCGAATGGACTGATCAACAACGTACTAGCCGAATGAAGAGTTCTTATCTTTATTATGGAAAAAATTTTGATGATGCTATTGATACGAAGATCGTATGCGGATAGAATGTTGACTTTCGTGACGGCTTTTATCACGCAATCGATCAACGGTGGAACTTTCTAGGCGCAACGGCGTTTTTCACCGTTTATTGTGAATAGAATGAAATTTATGTTCAGTTCTAATCGATACTTCTGCTCAGCTATGCAGGAAACGATGGTAATGTTGTTTTTAGATTGTTTTTTTGCAGGCGGATGACGATGTGTGACTTTATCCCGAATTTTTCCAGGAATTACCAGAACTGCTTGTATGCAATCGCGACGAAACACTGCTGATGAAATAAAGTGAATATGAAATGGCGCAGCACTCAACGCAAATATCATCAAAAATAAAACATTAAACGCAAAGAATTCGACTTGAAGAAGCGATACACTTTTCGATCCTAGGATAAACTGAGTGATCATTCTTTCACTGTAAACAATCATCATTGGTCTTGTTGTGATTATATACACAAATACTTCAGCTATAACAAGAACCAATAAATCTCGGTCACATCATTTTAATCGACCCGTTGGTTCTTGACTCGTCGGTTGAATTCGCGTTGGCACATGTTTCAGATTTCTGTAAGTTAAACAAACGAATATCGTTATGGTCGTCGCTGGTATCGCGCTCATACATATCACAACATAAACTCCGTAGAATGTTCCATAGTCACCAGTCGGTGCACGTTGACCTTTGTTAACATGCAACTAGATAAGTGTATGACTAGCAGCAGTGGCCCAAAAGATGGAAGCACAACAAGTGAAACACTTTGCGCAGTTCCGTGTGCTGAATGACTGATATGACGCACGCTAGCTTGTGACCATGTAACGATCGAAACATGCAAGTATAACAAGAGTTTTGGTAACTTGTCCGAAAAATGATGAAGTGAAAGTTGCAAGTCTACATAGAGTCAATGACCGAATGGAATTGTCCGTATAAATGTATATGAAGATTCGAAATACACCATGGAGACGCTAGATACACGATGTTTGTTGCAGCCGAATTGGCCAGATAAATCGAACATACATTGTGTGCTTGTCGATTGAAAATCATCAGGATAAAGATGTCTTCAATCACTTCAACAACTACCAGAATTGGATAACCGTAGAAATTCATTTCATTTTGAATTCGAGGCAGAATAGCGGTTGATATAATCACGTTCGACGGATGTTTCAGCAAAGCGATGCTTGCGAGAAAAATCTTATGTATTTATAAATGTTTATAATTTTAGGTTAGTCAAAAGATCTTTAAAGATCATGATGTAGCTACGAAAACACTTCCAATTATATAATTTATCATGTTTTAGACTATGTTTTTTTGTCATATACCTTAATCTTCGCATTCGAATATAACATCCAGTTAGCAAATAGGGAGTACATCCGAAAACGTGTTTTGTAACTGCAAGTAAATGCACTGCTATATATTCAATCCTGTTTAGTTAAATCAAAGCTTCATCCAGATGATACTCGTTAGTTCAGCAGATTTTAATACCATACTACTTTGTTCAATCTTTGAACGAAGCACTAAAATTGGAATGAACTTCGTATTTCCGTATTCACTAACATACTTCTTACATAGCATAAGTAGAGCAAAACAGACAACATCTTCCATCTTTATTCTCAAATGAACAACATTTATTCATACGGATGACTTCCGCAACATATCGACATGAAATTTCGATCCATGATAGATGCCGTCAGTAGTTTGAAACATCGTATCAATGAAAAACTCAACACATAATCATTTACGTACGTGTCTCTATTAACTGATATATTTTCTATTTCTCGTTGCTTTTTTTTTTTCTTTTGACCGACTGTTATTGTCTTTTTCCGTCGAGTCGAACGAATGTAATACATGTACATGTATAAAATTTTTTTTCTTTTATCGTTTTGCCTTGCCATCTTCAACGCGAAGCAGTCGACCCTCTACAGAAGAACGCAAGAGAAAGAAGAAAAGGAGAAAAGAACGACAACAATAAACATACACACACACATACACGCACACACATATACGTCGACCAATTATACCCTTGCACATTCATTTTCTATCGTCGATTTCATCATCGTTTGCCAATAGTGAAAATCTCGATCTAGTTGGACCATTTACAACCAATGTAAGTAGCAATAAAGCTCGGGTTGGCTGTCCGATTCCCACCAGTTGATTTCAAGATAGAGTCGAATGAATTTCATAATGAGAAAACTGAACACAATGCACAGATATTTTCTTTTTTCTAGTCCGTTTGACAATGGATTCAGGCTTACAAGTAAGAAAACAATTTGACATACCAGGAAACAAAATCGAATGATCATTTCAGGTTGCTCAGCAAAATTCTTCGCCGTCAACAGGTGGCAATGTAATTTTACTTAATAATAATGATATGATGCAACAACGAACAAGTATCGGCGGACAACAAGTAAAGTTTATCGAATAGATGGAAGATTTTGCTTGGAAAATTTCAATTTTTGTAGATTATTTTAAAAACAAATTCATCGCCGACCTCAAATTCTACGCAAGGTCAAATTCTTCAAACAGCAGACGGACAACTGATTATTTTACAGAGCGCTGAACAACAACAAAGTCAATCCACACAATATGTTCAAGTTGGTGGTCAAAGTAAAAGAAAATTTCAACAATAATGTATTTATATCTACGAATGCATTTTGTTCTAGTTCTACAATTGAGTAATGTGCAAACTGCTCAACAGCCTCAAACAATAACCATTCCAGCTGGTGCATTACAGCTCGGTGGTAATGGACAACAAATCGTTCAACTTGCTACGCCGACTAAAATGCAGAATTCTTCACAGAACGGTTCAGTGATTATGGTAAGAAGTTTGAATGAATTGCAACTCGAATCGTTAATTCTCTTCTCTTAGATGATGCCAGGAAATTCAGGTCAATTACAAACTGTTCAAATGCAATCAGCCGGTACAGCAGCGACAGCACCTGCTCAAACAGCTGTAGCATCTGAGCCCACAGAAGAAGAACCATTATATGTTAATGCTAAACAGTACAATCGAATTTTAAAGCGACGCGCAGCACGAGCTAAACTCGAAGCAGAAGGACGAATTCCACGAGAACGTAAAGTATGTTATCACTCAAATGTGTGTCTCATCTATGTGGAAAACGATCTTTTGTTTTATAGCGTAAATTTCTTCATGAATCTCGTCATCGACATGCAATGAATCGAGTTCGTGGTGCTGGTGGTCGTTTCGCGCCTGGATCGAAACAAAAGGCCTAGACTGAATCTTAAATTTGTCGTTTTTCTTTTCTGTGAATTGTTTTCTTGATTTCTTCTTCAAAATGTGCGCGCTTGTGTTGTGTATATTGTAAAGTCAGCCCAGAGAAGATTTTTGTTTGTTTGTAGACATCTAAATGACTGCATTAGTGCGAAAGAAAAAAAAACTAGCATATGTTTCGTTTCCTTTTTTGTCTGTTGTAGTTGTGGATATTGTTAACTGAAAGGAAACAGGAATAAAAAAAATGAAGGGAATAAAAAAAAGTCAACCATGTTTGGGCGAGATGGAAGAGAAATTCATTCGATGTTTCGTTGTTTTAGACATATGCAGGAACGACAGTTAATTTTCGAATCTGTTTTACCAAGTGAACTTGACCCGGCAAGATATTCCAAACCAGTGATTGATGGCATCGAACAAGCTTTAACAGGTAATTTTGTTGGGAGTTCAGTGAAAGACGAGAACATTGATCTGTTCATTTAGTTACGTGTACGAATGGTAAAACAGTAACACATAATCCTGCCGAACCGAAAGTCGCTCCATCGATAAAAAATGATTTCGATGATGACGAATTAGTTGCGTTCGCTGAGAATTTAGAGAATATTTCTCCGGAAGAATTGGAAAGACGTGCGAAGAAAAAAGAACGTCCGAACAATCCCTTGTTCAAGTATCGCCGCGGTGTTCTTTCTGTATCGGATTTATCCGCACAGATCTGGTGTGAACAACAATTGTATTATAAATTTCTGTATCCATTCGTTCTTAACGACGAAGGAGAGATCAAACGTGTTGATGATAAGCCACATATGTTATGCGGAACAGCATTACATTTGGAACGTGAGTTGGAAATTCAGACGAAAGTCTCGATCGAGTGTAAAACACGTGAAGATTCTTACGGAGTGCGGCTGTTAAATATGGTCCAAGGAATTAATGGTTTATTAACCTGGAATAAACCAAATGAACGATATATAACACGTGAAATGCCTGTAAGATATTTAACGATTGAAAAGAACCAATGGAGATTTGTTTTGAGTAGATTTTTGGAAATATGTACGGCGGTAAATTGTATTTTCGTGGGATAATTGATGAGATTAATTACGATCCACGAACGCATCAGTTAGAAGTTGTGGAATTCAAGACTCGGGCATCGAAAACAGCGCCGAAACCGCAGCAAACGTACACACATGAAGTCCAAGTGAATATTTATCGCACATTACTCGATGAACTTATTCAAGGAGAAGTCGACAAAAGTCTCTATTTCGAACGGTTTAATTTGCAACCATCCACATCATTGTGTGATGCAGTTAGAAATGAATATAAAGACCGGGGATTTCCAGATATTGATACATTGGAAAATGCTTTTGATTTATTAATGAGATTAGCATTTCGAATGCCGACAATTACAACTAGTGAGTCGATCAAACATGATTTCAGTTTTTTTGAATATGGAAGTTCTTGTAGATGGTGCTATTGAATATATTTTACAATCGGATGCCACTTGGAAGCATCGAAAAGAGTTTCAACGTGACGAAAAACATCTTCAAGATTTACTGATCAAATCCGAGCCATTTTGGCTCGGTACACGTGAGCCAGAAGGTGTGGATATCGAAGATGCCTTCAAATGTCAATGGTGTGACTATGGAGAAATTTGTGCATGGCGTGAAGAAAAAGCCAATGAGTTTTCACGAAAAAAGAAACGACTGAATTGATAATGATTTTTCTGTCAGATGATATGTTGTGTATATAATGTAAAGATATATCTTTCTCTGTGCTTTGTGATCACTTGTCTTGTCTGTTCTCTAAATTCAAACAAATTTCTATGTTTTCTAGATGGCTAATCCTAAACGAACGGTTTATGTCGGTGGCTTAGCTGATGAAGTCGATGAGAAGACAATTCATGCAGCATTTATTCCATTCGGTAAGGCTAGCATGAAGATTGGTCATTCTAATACCGAATAATTTTCGTTTTAGGTGATATTTTTGAAGTTCAATTACCGATGGATTATGAAACACAAAAACATCGTGGCTTTGCCTTTGTTGAATATGAAACTGCAGACGATGCTGCAGCCGCTATTGATAATATGAATGATTCCGAATTATTCGGTCGAGCAATACGCGTGAATTTAGCTAAACCGGTTCGATTGAAAGATACCAGTTCCAAGCCGGTTTGGTCAGAAGATCAATGGTTGTCCGAAGCGATGAATGCTACAGACAAAGATGCATCATCCACTGATGATAACAATAATAGCACAACTACAAATTCAACAAAACCCGCAGAAGCAGATTCGAAAGAAACTGATGTTGATGAACTCGATTTGGACACAGGTCGACCATTATCCAAACGAATCAAATCAACAGCAAATCCACGTGTCTATTTCGATATTGAAATCAACGGTGGCCGAGCGGGACGATTAGTTTTTACCCTCTATGCAGACATCGTTCCATTAACAGCAGAGAATTTTCGTTGTTTATGCACACATGAGAAAGGTTTCGGCTTTCGACACACATCATTCCATCGTATTATTAAAGAATTCATGGCACAAGGCGGTGACATGACCAAAGGAAATGGAACAGGAGGAAAATCAATCTATGGGCGAACATTCAAAGTAAGATAGATGCGAAAGAATTTCGAAGGCAATATTTTTACAATTAAGGACGAAAATTTTAATTTAAAACATACGCATGCTGGTCAATTATCAATGGCAAATTCCGGTCCGAATAGTAATGGTTCCCAGTTTTTCATTACGTTTGTTAAATGTGATTGGTTAGACAATAAACATGTATGTACTGCTGATTGAAAAGCGAGTTTCGATTTGTTGCTATGATTTATTTTAGGTTGTATTCGGTGAAGTTATTGAAGGTTTTGAATTGTTGAAGAAGATTGAAGATGCAGGAACAAAAAGTGGAACAACAACAAAGACAGTGACAATTGCTGATTGTAACGAATTCAAATAGTCGATCTGTTGAGTTATATATATGTGTGTATATACTACTGTCCATTACAAATTTTATTTTTGATGGACTAGGAAAATAAAACGAGAAAATTCTGTTGTTCAATTTGACAAGTTTTCATGTCTAACAGATTTCTATTCAGTCAAACCTTCTTTTATTTAAATACAAAGAAAACAAAAAGAAGCAACACTTCAGTTTCGGTGTGGTGGTGGTGGTGCGATGTCACTCAATTGATCGCCTAGAATGAACAACAAGAAACATCGAATTTTTTTCATGCTGAGTTATTTACCATCAAGTGGTAAAATGGATTTAATCCAAAAAGCATTCAGAAGATGATCGATCTTTGGACGGCCAGAATTAGGATGTAGAAGAACAGTTAGGTTGCCATGATTGATTGAGATAAATGATACCGCATCGATGAATTGTTCTAATGGTAAATAAATTCCCCAAGAACCAATTGGATGAGGTCTAAATTAACACATTATTTGTGGGATGATTGTTTGAAAGCAGAAATCTTACCCAATAGGTGCCATGTTTAAGTCCCAATGGCAAATTTTCGGACACCAAGTTTCGCAATCATCGTTGCAGTTATCAACGTTAAATCGTTCGATAAAGCGATTTCGTAATGCAGTGGCTTCGTTCGTTTGGTTTTCATTCTTTTGTAAAAAGTATACATGAATATGATAAGAATAATACGTTATGTTATCGTTGACTGGAACATTCTCTAAATCAAATCCATGATTTGTCAGTAACAGATCTTCAATCGTCCCGTGCTGAATCACATGTCCATTTGCGAGAAGATTCAAGACGAAACAAGTAAAAGTAAGGAATACAAGTTTAATCGACATTTTAATGTTTAACATCTTGAAACAATTCGGTTTGTGTATATATACTTCGAGTTTCTATCGCGAAGAGTGCAAGTACATAATGACAATGTGAAAGATAAGAATGACGAAGTTTTTTTTTATTATTAAGAAGATATGATAAATCATTATTTCTCAACGAAAAACGAATAATTATCAGTAACTTCCCATCTGATGGGTTGATATCATCCTACGCGCAGTGTCGAGAGTTATACGTATCGCATAGAATCGATGTCAAACTGACTTGATGTCGTATCTTGTCGTGCGTCACCTTCGAGAGTTATGCCTTGAATGGTTTCTTTTTCTTCGGTGTTAATATCTAGATGTACGGTTAATATCCGTTGACTTGTTGGAATGAGTTGGATTTTCACTTGTCGAATGATGTTTCTTGTCCAAAAAGCAATCGCTGTGCTGACGGCACCAGTTCCACATGCTTGAGTTTCGTCGAACACACCATTTTCGTATGTTCGTATTCGAATGATTTGTTGGTCGACAGTCGGATAGGCGATAGTTAAATTTAAATTCTCGATTCCGACTTTCATTCGATATAAATTCAAATGCTCTTGAGCAAATCGAATTAGGTCAAATCTATGAAAATCTTCTATCGATTGAACAATATCACGAGCATCGACAATCACATGATGACTACCAACATTCACATAAGTCCACGATTCAATCAAACGTAAGTCTTTATAAACAGGTAATCGTAAAGCTACTCGGTCGTTCCCAATTAACTCTGCGCGATACATGCAACCATTCAATATTAGTTCGATCAGATTTCTTTCAAAATGACCACTTGAGACTGCATGTCGAACAGCACACCGAGCTCCATTTCCACACATGACTCCTGTCGAGCCATCAGGATTGTAAAAATCATAGTAACATTTGCAGTTGGTTTCATTCAAGTCGAGTAACACAAGAAGACCTTCAGCAACTGGTAAATCTTTTCGTTGACACAAACTTTTCACTAATATAACGTTCCACGGATTGGAAATTATTCCTTTCCGATTATCAACTATAACAAAACGATTTCCAGCACCGGACCAATGTTGAACTTCAATAACCATTGCACTGAATTGTTTTTTCCTAATGTAGTCAATGCTTTCATATAGAAGACACCAATCATATCCATTTCGTTTATCTTATCTAATCAGCTATCACTTACGAGGCACAGCAACACAGTCGATGTGTTATGCTGATCGTTGGAAGGCTCGGATTTACGAGATTTGTTTTTTTTTTAAATTCTTCTTCCTTTCCTGTTTTTATTTCTTGTTCCGATGTTAGAAATACAACACAGAAAAATTCATACACAAATTTGGCGGCTGCTTCTACTATACTTGGACATATGTTCGTTAAAGAAAAAAATAGAAACAAAAAAATTGTACTAGAGCCGTATTAGAGAAAGGATTCTACGGTTTTTATACTGCCTGAAAAATATAATAAGGATGTAAACGGGCAAAAAACGTAACTGGAGGAGAAGTTTCTTGTTCTATTGAGTACCGTTCTTAACCACCGCTGGTATCAACTTTGACGCCAGCATAGAGTTGGACAAGTGAGTCGAAACCGGCCAAGACACCAGCACCAGCGATACCTCTTAGAATATTGGCACCAGCGCCTTTGAACAATGACATGATACCTTCAGCGCGGATGATTTGAAACATGCAATCCAATGATCCCTTGTATTTCACAGCTTGGCCTGATGTCATCATCATACGTCGTCGAATAGTATCGACTGGATATGAGATAAGACCCGATGTAACTGTGACACCATAACCGAGTAAGAATGAAAGCATGATACCGGCATCTGGACCAAGTAAGATTGGTTTCAAAGTATCATAAAAGCCGAAGTAACAACCACGGTAGATGATGATACCGACACATGAGATGACGAAACCACGATAGAGACCAGCAATACCATCGGTGGCCATTGTTTTTTTGTAGACATCGACGAGACCGTTGTATTTACGTTCACCACCGCCTTTCTTTGTACTTTTAACGTCATTGGCCAAACGTGTACGAGCATAATCAAGTGAATAGACAAAGCACAATGATAATGCACCGGCTACACCACCACTAGCAATATTTTTGGCGAAATTGACTAAATATGGATCGTTCTTATTTTGTTTGAACATCGCTTTGATTTTGTCCTTGAAGGCGAAGTTCAAAGCCTAAAACACGAGCAATAACAGATTTATTTCTTTGAGAACTCTCGCTAGCGGTATCAAAACAAACTTGGGTGGGAAAGTATCGAATGCAGTTGGCTAAGTTTCCCCGCCAGAACGGCAACAAACCTTCATTTCGGAAGGTTTGCATTGTACAATCGATAACACCGGTGTATGGTCGAGTAATGGTACCTTGTTTCAACATTTCGCCTTGGTTTTGTACGAGCAATTTGACACGTTCAATGGGAGCTGCAGCTGTTTTCGATACAACAGCAGCTACACCACTGAGTGCAAAGTTTTCAATAAAACTCAATTTTGGTTTCTCTTTCTAAACAGAGAAGATCGTCATGAGATATTGTTAGAAAACGCAGTCAAGATATTTACCACCGCCATTGCGCTTTAGTTAATACGACAAACTGAAAAACAAAAGAAGTGTTGGTCTTAAAAAGAGAATTTTGTTTTTTACTCCTTGCTCTTACTTTTGTTGATGATTCTGGAGTCGTAAAGCGCAGAAGTGTCGAGTCAGTCGAAAACAAACGGCTTCAACACGTACAAGATGGCTACTTCAAGTCAACCTCCTTGGAAACGCGTCGTCTTCGACACTCTTACTTTTGTTATGATTTTATTCAAGTTATTTATGTATTTGCCAAAAACATCGACAGAGACATCTATAAAGATCTGTCATTGATCTACGGCAAAAAACTGACTAACGAATCGAGTACTTTCGAGAAAGATTAGACGGGCAAGTCACGTAAATCGAGTTGAATAAAATGCCGCAAATCTGTCAAAATATTATCGTAGACGAATATCTGAGAGAAACAAAATCCGATTTAATTACTTAATTTTTTAATGAAGGCCACATAAACAAGTGTGTCTTAACTAAAAATAAGTTATTCTCAATTAACGTTTAGCCTAAACAGAAAAATATGTATCTATCAGTTAGAAAAGTAACACACCGTTGCTTCTTTAATTAACAATATATGTCATGCTCGATAGATGTTACACGTAAGCCATGGTTCGCGTGCGCATTTAAATAGTCAAATACACTTGTACACCTGCGTAGTTCGATGTTCTCCTATACTCTTTCGAAACGACGAACACGAACGTCGAAACAGATCGTGTCCGGTAATGCAACTCTGCGACTGATTGATGGCAATCGGATACCGCTGTTCGGTCTTGGCCTGTATGAAGTTGATGGCAGTTCATGGACGACACGTTTAGTCAAATCAGCAATAACCATGGGTTATCGTCTTTTCGATACTGCAGAGGTGTACGAAAATGAACATGAGCTTGGCGAAGGAATAAGAAAATCTAGTGTTGCACGCGAACAAGTATACATCACATCGAAAGTTTACACAACCGAAGGCGGACGTCGGCAGGTTCTCGATTGCGTTCGGCAAAGTCTTATGCAGTTAATGGTAGATTACATCGATCTTTATTTGATCCATGCTCCACAAGGTGGACATGTTCTTGAAGCTTACGATGCCTTGCATGAATTACGAAATCTCGGTCGAATACGTTCAGTTGGAGTTAGTAATTTCGGTATTCCGCATTTAGAAGTGATTCGGAAGAGTGGTCGCCCATTGCCAGTTGTTAATCAGATAGAATTGCATCCATTTTGTCAACAACGTCCAATAGTTAGTTATTGCCGCCGACATGGCATTGCGCTCATGGCTTACTCACCTATGGCACGCGGAGCAGCATTGAATGATCCGTTTGTACTTCAGTTAGCGAGAAAATATCGTCGCACACCAGCACAAATTCTATTGAGATGGTCAGTACAAAATGGGTTTATTCCTATTCCGAAAACCAATCATCCCAATCGATTGAAAGAGAATTTTCAAGTGTTCGATTTTCGTCTAAGTGCCAATGATATGAGACAACTAACTGACTACGGTTATCAACAACCGATGGTGTCTGGATGGAATCCTGTCTCGAACACTACATCTCAATTCGGAGCGATTTATTAGAAAAGACTTTTTCGTTTCGTTTCCTTTTCTTTTGTTTCAAATAAAACATTTAGTTCACAGTTGTAAATTCGTCTTTCGGCATTGCAACGAGATCGAGGACCGGTGAACCATCTTGTCCTGCGTATTTTGTAATAATTGCTGTAATTTGTCCCCGGTGATGAGTATTATGATTAAATATATGATCGAGTACCTCTGCGCGAACCCGTTCATGTTGATTGCCCTTTGTATCGACATATGTAAATGTGTCTTCTTTCATCAGCGCTTCAGTATCCAATTGTCTAACAAAATCTATCCACCGGTCACATTCGATGAAGATCATTTGACGAAGTTCTTTACGATCCGTTACAGCTTGTTCCCATTCATGGGCTGGTCGAGACCAGTAGGAACTCAACTGAAACGGATACTTTTCTTCATATGGCGAATTCACGTGACGAGCATACCAAACTTTACTTGATAGAAGTAAATGAACTAAAGTCCCATGAATCGATCGAAAGAAAAGACCATTGTCTGTACGATAGTCTTCATCGGATATATGTTTATCTAATTTCTCATACAGCTGCCGGTAAGCCCATCGATTGTAGATTGCCATACGAAGAAAATGCTGTTTGTACGCATTCATTTTTCTATTAAATTTGATTATCTCTGAGTGCCTTGTACCATACGGAGAAAATTAATTTGTCCCTCTAAACAACCTATTCGCTCTGTAATACGCCGTAGATGTCACTGACAGCCAAGTAAGACAATTCAAGTTTCATCTCGATTATATTCAAAGAATTAAATTCAAAAAAAGTATATACATTTCACGTAAAAATAAATGAAAAGAAAATCGGTTACATTCGCCAAACTGACAAATAAAAAGAACGAGCCGACTGTGAACTTTAGAAGTGCACAGTTACTTTCGCCGGCAAAAATAGCATACGTACATGGCTTATAAAAAAAATATAGATTGATTAAAATAGACTTTGTCAAAGGAACAACGTTCGACATACGATCTCAATCGCGCTGAAATAGAAAGAAAGACAGAAGAAAATCGAAAAAGGAAAGAAAAACTTTCATTTTATGGACGTCGCATCTGTAATATCAATTGCAAAAGAGAAAACACATACATCACATCACATTTTGTCAAAAAAACAAACCGGATGAGATTCACCGCATACACCAGTCAATATCGCAGACAGATCGTCCAAAAGAAAAAGAAAGACGGGGTTTACAACCCTTGATTGTTTGTGTGAACAAAAGAGAAAAAAAAACAATAACGCATGTATTTACAACGAAATCGATCCGATGGTTGGATTTTCTAACCAGAAATATGGGTATCAGCGATAACAATTCAATCTTTTTCCAAAGATTCCGATTTATCATCGAGAACATAGGTCTTTGTTCTCATCAGTATTGCACTAGATGATAACATACATATCTCTTAAACAGAACTATGTATCTTATCTTATTCCACGAGCATATGCTGATGGACCTATGTTCTCATGTGAAAAAAAGAAACGAGCCCGAACAAACAATTAAAAGCGATCTGACTTGTATCTCTACTCATTGATATAAAAAAAAGCAAAAGGAAAACAAACAGTTATTTACAAAGACATATTGTAAAGACTAGCGTGATGCCATCCACTTACAAACACGGTTATTTACATCATATGAAAAGAAAATAACGATTTTCTCGTTGCGCACAGCATGAGGTAGTAAACCAGCTACTAAAAATAACGTTCGATATTCGCGATCAATTGTTTTCGGGATGAGTTAGTGAAAGGAATGTACGAAAAGCAGCATTCCCAGCCAGGAGAGATAACAGATAAGGTCAGGGAGAGAAAAACTTGGCTCGTTATATACCCATATATATATACAGATTTAAAACACACGCACCCTTTTGTTTTTCGTTATGGATTATTGCTTGAAGCTATGGAAGATTTATGTACATGTTGAACAAAATATGAATTTATCGGCAGAGGACATGTTTATTTGTTGACGAATTGGTCGTTGAAGAGGTATTTGTTGATGTTGAAGTAATGGTTTGTTGCTGTTGATGATGATAAATGTCAAAATGATTCGACGGCGATGTTAAATTCCATAGGAAATTTGTTGTGGGTAAAGTTGTCATCGTTGATGGATTAGGTAGGAAACCATGTCTGGACACGTGTAAAGGAAGGTCGTCGGATGTGGGGGAAAAGACAATCGAATGGGTAAATTGTTTTGCCAATGGCGATGATGGCGAAAAATAACTTGTTGAATAGAACATTCCTTTCGACGGCGATTGATAAAAGCAATTTAATGATTCATCTATAACATATAGAACAAAAGCAAATAAAAGATATTCTGCAACGAGCTTCACCAACCTTTTTCATCATTACGTTTCTTCTCGGCTGCATTTGCAAGAAGAAGTAAGCCAGAGGAATCTAATTATAGATAAGAGAAAACGAACGTCATATATGACAATAGGAAAAGAAAGAGTAATTACAATAATCGCTTTGACCCAGGTTGGATTTTGTATCTACAATCATCGATGTGCTAGTTGTATGCGATTCATTATCCGAGTCGCCGTCAATAGTTGAATCATCTGCATGAATATCATTGACATCTGACTTTTGTTCTAGAAAAAAAGTATTTATTCTGCTGATGAATCAGAAAAATAAATCAATTATACTCAATTCGCGTTTTTTCCGCGGTCCATCCACTGTTATTTTGATTGCTCGTCGGTAAGTACACTGTTGAGGTGGTGTGGTTTGGATAATTATGCTTAAGGTAAACTTTTTACCTGAAAGGAAAATACAAACTATTTTGTGTTTGTTCTTAAATTTTGACGTACCTCTTCCGCTAGCGCCGAGGAAACGTAAGTCGTTGAATTCTGCGTGACCGTTGCGAAACCAGCTAACATTGTTCTTCAACGTGGCACAAGGATTGAAATCATTTCCAGCCAATACTATAACACGTGTATTCGGTTTGATTTCGATAAGATTCTTCGCTCGGAGAACGAAATGAAGGGACTTGTTTTTTCGCCAATGGCTAAAGTAAACAAATACAAAAGTCAATTTTTTCTCTTTTGTAGAACGAAAACTTATCTTACTTCGGTAACGACGAACATTCGAAGTATGGATTTAAATCAATAAATGTATTTTTAGTACGTGCCAGGAGAAGTTCGGCCGGCGAGGACATCGGCGAACAGCGTTTGATTAGATTGGATTTCGATGTATTGGTAGAAACGGATATCTTGTTCGTGTCGACGATGGGTTTATGATCAGTAGAGATCGATGGATAGTTACCAGTTGATTCAGTTGAATGAGTTGTACTCGTTGAAGATTTGTCACTTTCAGTCGATAAACGTCGTCGTTCAAAAGCCATCAAATTGGTATTTACAGAAGAAAACAGGAAAATAATTATCGAATTTATCGGGTCTAGTTCGACCTAACACATATATATTTAATCTATTTAACAAAAATAAAATATCTGAGCACATTCGCGGAATTGAGGAGATTAATTTGCCTAAGGAAAAAATACTGACACGTCGCCTTGGTGGTATACATATTCGATAAATAAAAATACGAAGAGAAAACAGCACGAAGGTATTTACTTTATTACATAATAATACGTGTAAAAAACAGAAAGAGAATGGAAGGTTTTCGAACACATGACACAAGAGTATGTGTTCTATTCTGTCAAAACGAAAAAAGGAAAGTGTAAGAGATAAATACAAGATGCACTCCTGTTTTATGCGTATGTCGATTAACGTAGTCTCGTGATAGTCAGAACTATCATCTTTGTACTACACGTAATGATGAATGAAATAGTTGGCTTCTCGCCTCATGTGATGGTTTTCTCTCTCTCTGCCTATATTCCTTCCTTACTCCATGACGTATTTGCTTTTTCTCCATTGACATCGCGTCACGTTCTTCTCAACCCACTCTTACGTCTTCCTTTGTTTTCTCTCTTTCTACGACGCTAAAATAAGTTCTGTTATGTTTCGTCTTTTGTGGTTGCCAAACTAACACTTTCTGTTACTTAAGGGTGCACAAAGGAAAAAAGAACGTTTTGGCTGCAGACCAACTAGTCAGCGCGAAATATGACGAAAGAAACTTCTCATCTTATCTCGAGAAAATTCGTCGAACCAAAAAGCCAATCGCGAAATTTCGATGCGTCATTTTTTCTGTTATATAAATATACCGCTTCCCTTTCCGTCGTCTTTCTCCTCTTCCCACTTGTTCTTTGTGGTAGTAATGTGCAAAATGAGGTAATTTTTTACCGATATGGAAAAGAAGAAAAAAAAAATCAATAAATATGACGTCATGGAATTGTTTAATACGTGGGTGTTTCTCAATGTTTGTAGCAACGAGCAGAAATAGCAAAAAATATATATGTTGAATAGGCGAACTATGTAGAAAATATGCAATATATTTGTAAAAACGATTATTTACGCCGATGACAGATGCAATTTGATAGAAATGCGCGTTGAGAAGTGAACACGAGGAATGCACACAATTGAGTCTACTTCTTTGATCAAACGAAAAGATATTCGGGGAAAGAATGGCGAGAATGTGAAAAGGTGTAAGGAAGAACCAAACTATCAACTTCGTCATCCACGTATTTTCGCGTGCATTTCGTCGTGTTTTTTTGCGTTTCTACAGACGTACGTTTGACACGAGCCCAAACCGGTTAATCGTATGTGTTTTGCAACGAAAATCATGCCAAATTATTGTTAATCTCTCATCCGATATGCAATATTGAATGAAGAGGACAAGTTTCGACTCGCCACTAAATTTAAGAGTCTAACATAATAAATTCTAGTCGATTCTCTCATATTACCTTCAAATATTGATGAAATTCAATCATTGTGGCGAAAGTCAGGTCGATGATTCATAAAGCTTTGTTTTTTTTTTCAGTTTATTATGAAATATTTTTCTTTAAATATTAACAATTTAACAAAAACAACTATGCTCTCGACGAAGGTACTTCCCTCCTGAAAATTTGTCCTATCACTGTTGTCGAAGTCAAAGAAAGATCTAAGATTCAATAGTCAATTTCGCTTTCATATCTTCCAAATCGATCACTTGTTCCTGCTCAAGCTGAATTTGATCTAGATAAGCTAAAATATCTCCAATACTTCGCTCTTCATGACAATCACCATTGATCAGTGGAATAAAAACTTCATGGTAGATTTTATTTGAATATAATTTATGCGTGACCAATCGAATTTGTTCATCGCTAAGCCACAGATCGTCTTCATAAGTTAGAACTGAGATCGTATCGGATTGATTATCTTCATCGTGTTCGTCACTCAAACGATTGAATTCAATGAAGTATCGAATTGTTTCGATGGAATAAAGCTCAAATGAAGAAGAAGTTAACAAATCATACAGAAGTCGTTTGATTTTCAATTGAGAGAATCCATGTATAGACATCATGTATAGATCCAACAGACGTCTTAAACTATCATGAGTTCGTTCGTGCACAAGAATCGATTTGATTAAGTAAATCACGATCTGTTTATCGAGATGTTCTAACGGATATTCGATCTGATAATGGTATTTTTTGAATATATAGGTCAAACGACGGATGGTTAAACGTATGTGATAGCATTGCTCAGATGTCATGGAAAGGTACTGTTCTTCATAGTCGAAATCATCGACCGACAAACCTAGAAGGGTGATGGCGAGGTTTTGGATGATGGTATACAAGGATATACGGGAAGTAATTTTCGATGGGTTGGTTGTGGATGTGACGATAAATGGACCTTTGTATATATGTGAGGAATTAAGGAAATTTTCATAGAGGGGGTAAACGGTTGGATTTGTATAGTTGACAGTACTGATAGCATTGTCGATCTAAAAGAAATGAGAAGTAACGTGAAGGTTAATTTAAAAAATTAAAATAACTAACGTTGTTGATCAGGGTTTGTTTGGTAAGTGCATGTCCGTATGTCATCGAATGATAAACTCGAAGTAGTTCAGCGATACGATCGATAATTTTACCGGAGAAGTCATTCATGTCATTTAAGAGTAAATAGAAAAGATTATTGATTTGAAAGATAGCTACAGTTGATGACGAAAACGAAAGAACGAACTGAACAATGGTATTCAATTTGCCAGTATTAAAAATAATCTTATTCGTCATGCGTTGATATTTTTCTAATTCTTTGCTTATACTGATGATCGAATTGATATTGAACGTGGAAAAATGTGTTAATTCAACATTGTTTAGAATCAAGTAAAACAAACGCTCGACAAATACACGTTCTTGTTGTTGATGATACTGACTAGAATAACAACGAAAATGACAAAGAAGTGCGACACGTACAACGACGATCAAGTCCTACCTGAAACTACGTATGTTGACCGGTTGTGTACGAATAAATAATTGAAATAACTGAATTTTCGATTGTAATAACATATGAGCATTCTCTTCGTCATCGGAACTATCATTTGAATTCAATGGATGATATTTTGTGTTCATTAAAAAGTTTCTATACGCATTTTGTAATTGTTTCTTTTCATGTGGACGAAAGAAGTCATTATCAATTGGATATGAATCTGGCAGATACCATACTGTTGTTGGGTTTGTCATGATTACAATCTAAAGATTGAAGGAAGAATCAATTTGTTAATGTATTAGAAGCAACAACACGAGTTAATTCACTAATTTTGATTTGTAAAAAGAAAGAGAAAGAAAAAAAAACATACAGTACAGAAAAAATGTCTACAGTGACAGGACGGTTACAGATATGAAAGAGAAAAGATCGAGATTTCAACACCGATATGGAAGGAATTTTGATCAATGCGTTCGTAAGATATTCAGTTTTCGTAGTTCAAGCTTAACACTTGATATTTGTTGATCAACACGTTCGATTTCACGTTCGAGGACGTCATACAATTGTCGATCTGATTTCGTTAATCCACGCATTGGTATGCGATTAATTCGAGCTTCCAAATCACGTTTTTTCTTCAATAACTCATCAAACCTTTCTTCCAAATGTTCGCTCTGTTTCATTTGGTTATCAATCAGATCCTGAAAATACCAATCTCATCCTAATCAATGTCCTGTACACATGCCTACTTACTCTTACTGGCATCTGATCAGCAGAGTGTAGGTTTGACGGGGATTTTCGTGGCGAATACAAAGGTCCTACATACAAACCTAGGGACAAAATTATCGCAAATAAGGAGCCGTTTACTTGTTGGTGGAACGTATGCAGGTGGAAACTTCGGTTTATCATTGATATAATCGTTGAGAGTTAGTAATGGACGAGGCGAATTACAATGGCGAAATAGATCTTCTGATTCTATAGAAACAATAAAGACATTTCTACGCGAAATAAGACTTTCTTCGAACCATTGGATGTGTATCTTGCTGAATCTCGATTGCCTGTTCTCGGAGAAGTAACTGTGGAAGTTGAATATCGTGAGGTGGTCACTGTGAATCGTCCGTATTCTCGTGAAGTTGGAATGTTCATAGGAATTGTTGCACCATATTTGGAATTATCAACACTTCTGATCAATAAAAACGCAATGAGTTGGAAGAAAGTGAGAAAAGATGAAGTATTAACCGTTGCGTATTGTTGTCGCTTGAAAAACCTGATGGTCGATATGTTTTCGTTTCATTTTCTAAATCTCGATAGCGTTCTTCAAGACGCAAAAGGCGTTCCTACGATACAGATCAATGGTTTCTCCGCAAATCGATTCAATTCATGTGAATTACTCGAGTAAGATTGAGATCACTTGTAAGTTTTTCATTTTCTTGCCGATAGAGTAAAGCTTGTTTATCTGAAAAGCGGATCTTTTCATCCTGTCGCTCTTTTAACTAAACACAAAGGCAAATTCAATTCGAACTAAAACTTGTTCGCTCGAAGTACTAACATTTCGCTCCTCATCTATCTGTTTCTGAAGTTCATTGATCCTTCGTTGATGAGCTTTGAAGTCCAGATCTTTGGTATTCATCTGATTTCGTAAATCCTCGATTTGCCGTTTCAGATTTGTATTTTCATCATTTGATACTTTCTATTCCATCAAACAAAATACAACAATACTGAAAGTTTTCGTTCTACATACCACGGAGTGCCGTAAATCTTTCATTTCATCTTGTAAACGCAAATTTTCATTGGTAAGTCGTTCCAGAGTCTCTAACGATTGACGATTATGTGTACTACTGGCTTGTCTAATCGAAAAAAAACATCGAATTTTTCGATTAAATCAAACCATTTTTGACGTACCCCATTTTGAGATTGTTTAATTGACTGTTAAGTTCTTCAATTTCATGTTCGTAGTACAACTTCAGATCTGATATATGCTTGGCATGTTTCGCTGATAATTCCGTTCGTACACTAAGCAAGAAATCAGAAATTAGATTGACACTTCGAAGAGAATGTCGCTGCGCCCGTCAAAACGTGAAGTAAAAGAAATCACGTTGTTAATTCCACCGTGTTACAGGCGCAAAACATATGTGAGTTTAAGAAAAACATCTCGATGTTGATTGACAAATAATAATGGAGAAAAAGTCAACTTTCCTATCCACTTAAAGAAATTGAATAGACTGTAAAAACTTCAAATCGATTGTTTTTTTGTCAAGAAATCACATAAAAAATACTGAACGAAAAACAACCGTGGCAATCAGCACAATTAATACACGAGAATCGTTAAAAGAGAAGTTTGGTTATTTGATAGGCTTCTTCGTCTGTTCTCCTTTTTTTTCGGCGTCCTTGAACGAATGATTGGAGTGAAAAACTTACATGGAAATATCTTCTCGCGATTGTGAACGGCACAGGTCGGCTTTGAATGACGGACGTTTGTCCAGTGAATAGTACGATCGTTGAGGTTGAGGATGAGCGCTCGTTCGATAGCGTTCATCATTCGATTCATGAAGACGACGATAGTACGCGGCGGCATCAAACGATTCGGATTTCGACTCTTGTAGATTTAAACTAAAGACAAAAAAAGACTTGGGAAGAGGAGTTTTGGCGAATTTTTACCTGTTTGTGGATGAGAGATATTCCTCGAAACGTTGTTTCATTTTCTCTTCGAGTTCTTGCATGTAAGTCTCATACTGTTTCTGCTGTTTCTCCAAACGTTCTTTATGTTCCCGTTCGAGTTTTTCTAACATGAGTAACCAAGTTTCCTAGAAGAGAAAAGTATCCAACTCTCCTTGTTTGCTGCCTTCCTTCATCAATTCATACATTGTTAAATGATTGATTATTATCCTCCTGGTTAATATGTCGTGACGAAGAAGATCGATGATGGTGATGGTGGTGATGATGATGAGATTTCTTTTTACTCGGACTCGTTCGATCCGGTGGCTGAGCGGTTAATCGTCTAAATAAGATATCGCTTGCCGATGTGTATGGTCGTGCTCGATCGTTGAAAACTTGTTTCAAACGAGTATTTATATCACTATAATCCTCTTCGATGGAAAGATGAGGTTGAGATGTGGCATGTAGTTTATGTTTACTTCGATGAACGATATATTCAGCAACAGAATCGGTTTCCGACGATGCTGATAACTGTCGAATACGGTGACGAGGTCGTTGTTTTGGAGAAGTATTAAAGACTGGTTTCGGTTTTTCATGTGGTGGCGGTGGCGGTGGTGGTGGTGGTGGTGAAAACTGTTGTTGCGGTTGTGGTGGCGGTGGTTTTGGTGGTGTGCTGTGAATGTCATCGATTGGTTGAGCAATAATCACAACCGTGGGTGATTGCATGTAACCATCCGCGCCTTGAAGTAAATCATTCCAATTCAATGGAAATTCATGTGTTTGCTCGTGATTTTCAACGCGGACGGATGAGTTTGGATTCAACCGGGGAATCGATGATAAAGTCTCATCTGGAAGACGAGTGGAATTTTGCGTAGAAAAACGAGATGTTGGATTGAATTTCGGTGATAATGTGATGTTCTACAGACGAGAAAGAAAAACGTCGAAGAGATATGCTAATACAAGGTAAGTTTCGTCTAGATTCTGATTACATCGTTTGATGCGAAATATGCATATGTATTTATATGAGTAAGTCTAAGGCCTTTTTATTCGAAGGTAAATAGAAATATAATTATATCCTTGAGTGAAAATCTCTTTTAAATGGATATTTAATATTAACACATTTGAAGGATACGTTTTCTAATTAATTTACATCGGATTTTCGCGATCAATGGACTATTACAAACGTTCAACTGTCAAATCTTGAATTTCGAAGTTTTCTCCTGTAATTGACGTGAAAAATACCACATACGACAACATTTTCCATCTCAAATTTGAATGTCTAGACTGGTTATATTCATGATCGCACCTAGGAAAGGACAACTGGCGTTTGAGGCAATCTTCTTTTTATCATAAATAGGAAGTCGGTCGTCACTTTTGTCTTTCTTTCGAAAAATTATCTGATCGGAACGAAATTCTTCATCTTGTTTTTGTTATCATGTTTTTTTTTATTAAGATCCGATTACTAATTCGCTATTTATCTAGGATAAATGACATTCGGCTGATCAACACACATACACAAAGTGAAAGAAAATCAATACGAACTTCGTGTTCAGTCTGCAGTTGTTCTTGATCGTTTTCCGATTTTTCTTCGATATGAATATGGACAGCTGGATGATTATCATATTCTTCCGATAAACCATCCGGTATATGTATGGATGTATGTTCAAAATCCTGAGATGCTTTATTAGTGAGATTCTCCTGCTCTCTCATTGGATCAATAATCGTCGATTGGATATTCGAAGAATATTGTTGATTGTCGAGTTCAGATGCTAAATTTTGATTTTCATCGACTATTGCGTAATGTGAAGTTTCATCTGATAACAGTTTAGTCACATCATACTTAATGAACAGAAATCGAAGATGAATAAGCGATATGACACACAATTCTTTTCGATTACCATTCTTGTTTCACTGAAATCAAGGTCTCTCAATAATTGACTATACTTCGGTTGACTGATACGAAGATCAGTTAGTTCATCATTCTCTTCGACTTGATTATCAGCTGTATCTAAGTCAATCGAAAGATTCCTCGTCCGTTTCCTTCTGTAAACATGTTTACCTTCCTCGCCTTCTCCTTCTTCTTCTTCTTTGATCACTTCGCTTGTCATTGGATTATTATCATTGAATGTTTGAGGATGATTGTTGGCATATGCAAAATGCGTTGTTGGAATGAAGACAAATGGAACTAACAGACGAACATGAGATCAAATTCGACAATCTTTCACTTACATTCATTATGAACATAGAATGATTGAGATGGAATCTCTTCGGTATTGTCAGTTGACATCTGAAAGATGAAAATCACGACCAGACTTTTCTTTTTGTCCAATTCTTTCAACTTCGAAATGTACACGAAAAAAAAAGATATAACAGACACATATTTCATCGCATCTCTCTCTCTCTGTTGCTTTTCTTTTTCTTTTTACACCTTTATAAATTTCTGTCAATGAAAAGAATGACTACCTTGTACTCACTTCTTCTCGCATTTTTTTCTCTCTGCGCCTAAACAATATACAATATGCTGTACATGATAAGCAACACAAAAAAGAGAATATCGATCTAAGGAAAAAACAAAGCACCTCTAAAGAATGACATTTGAGTTTTTCATTGGTCAACATCGCTGCTATTTTCTTTTTGTATCAATCCGATCAAGGAGAATTATCTGATTCGTTATCAAGGTAGTCTCTCTACCTGTGATAATATCGAAAGTAATTACTAAATAACCGTATCTTACATGTCGTGCTTAGTGATTTATCATAACACTTGACATGTTAACATAGCGATTTGTTCGTCTTTCGCGTAACTCAACTGATTTCTAATTATTTTTTTCTAAATAGAACAGTGTGCAAACGCTTCGAACTAACCTGAAGATGACTACAAAGTAACACAATTGATCGATCAAGAAAGAATATCAAAGAGAACTTACATTAAATGCGTTTGATTTCGAAAATGTCAACTTTTCAGCAATGCTTTTCGTCTATGCAGCGAATCAACAAAATTATCCATAACAACTTGAACCAGTTCAATTCACTTGCAAAAAAAAACTTCAAATTCAGATGACTCATTTCTGACTGCCATTGAATTCTTTCATCAAGAGGTCACTAGTCAACGAATGCGACAACAACATTTTTACTTCTTTGTTGTTTTTTGCAAAAATGTTACCGTTCGTCATGCAGATGAAAGTGAAGAGATTCAGATTGTTTTATCTGGGTGTTCTTTTTACTATGCATAAACTATAGACAACATCGAGATGAACAACAACGAAACAATATGTAAATAAATAAAAGGAAGTTCGGAATAAAATACAATCAAATAAGACAATAGGAAAAAGAAAGGGAATGAGTATTGCTTTTACTCATCTGACAAATATCGAATAGTTTTGATGTTATCTGCTAACCTAATCGGGATTTAACCTTTAGGGTCAGCTTTTCATTGAAAAGTGAAGACGAACAAAGAAGAAGACGCAATGCGAGAATGTGTACGAGAACGAAGAAGAAACGGAGATATTGATATACATATACGTGAGATTCTCAAAGATTAAAAGTGACATTCAGTGAAGACTTAAATGACTAAAACAGATTCTTCATTTCTATCTCTCATATTCAAATAAATGCGTTAATATGTTGGTGGTTGATAACTAGATTGTGATTGTTGAGTTGCTGTAAACGGTGGTTGAGAGAAACTACCAACTCCACCAGTCGATGGGTAACCACCGTATGTTTGTCCGCCAGTACCCGAATGATCTTCATAACCGGAACTAAATAAATTTGATACACCTTCACGGTATCGACGAAATGCAAAGAAGGTTAATGCAGCCTATATGAAAATGAAATCATTATGAGAAATCTACGCTAAACGTTGCCATTTCATACCCAAACTAAAATTGAGAAGAAGGCGAATGCAATCGCTGCTTGAACACTATTTCGACCATTCCATTCAGGTAAATCTTTTTGATCCTCTTGCCGCCATTGATCAGTCATGTAACAGAAACCAATAAACCAAAAGAATGTCAAGGCTCCTGAAAAAAAAGCAAATATATAAGATTTTCAAACGTTTCACCCTTTGTTTCTCTCTCTCTCTCTCTCTCTGTACCTGATGCTCCTAATTCACTTAATACTGCAGTTCGTCGTGTTTTTATATTTGATATATTTGGAAAATAAACATCCAATGCCGTGAAACCAATAGTTAAAAGAAATGCAATTACACCAATGGCAACACCATAACCACAAGCATTTGATTCATTATAGCGGCATACACCGTTAACATAACCTTCTTGGGCAATCGACGCAAAGACAATCGTGGCGAAAACCTATTAACAAAATCAATTAATAACGAAAACGAAAGAGACGAATAGAAATCAATGTCCTACCCAAGCAACAACCCGGAGGATAACTTGAGGTTTTTTGATGAATTCAATTGGATCGAACGCTGAGCCAGTTCGACCGGCACCGAACGCTTGTGGTTCAGACGAAGAATTCATTAATACTTTAATTGTTTTGACTGGGAGTTAAAACGAATATGAATATCTAAAACAAAGCCTTTCAAGTGTTTATCGATCAGACGAACGTGTGTTTCTTGTCGTTACATTTCAATGGATTCATGTCAAGGGAGTCACAACAGAATAATAATAACAACAAAACAAATAGAGTGAATTTTTCTTTACCTGACATCTATCAAAATTATGTCAATAGAGAAATTAATTATTCAAACATAAATCTACTCGAATTCGGCAGATTATTGCGTCAATAGTTTATCGCAAGATATTCGTTTCCTTCTTCGGATTTTTCTCGAAATTCGATTTAATTGAACATATTCCTAGATGTCGCCCAATGACAAGATCCTGCTCGATGTTCCGGTAATGGTTTATTTGATAAAATGAATATAAATAAATTATCAATTTATTAGAAGTGAAGAATTCTTCTAATTAGAGACGAGATCGATTGTTCAATACAAAGATAATCGTTGGTGTTTACAGCGCAAGTTGAAGATTATTTTTTCTTGTCAGTTGTCGCTTTGTCTGAAGCTACAGGGTTTGCTTTGACAAGACTGCCAACACCTTTCTTCTCCGCAGGTGGATTTTCCGGTTCTTCTGATTTGGGTTTTTCAGTTGTTTCCGATTCTTCCTTTTTGCTCGCACTTGCCGGCTAAAGAACGAGCAGTTAATCACGAAAGATCGAATAATATATCCTTACTTTTCTACAATGCCAATTAGCATCATACTTAGCGATATTATTTAAATAGGCGTTGTTCTGTTGGGAACTCTTCTGCCAATCTTCTCGACCTAAGATAGGTTTCCGATCGATAATTCGCTTGGCCAGTGTTCCATTTTCTTTCGACACGCGCAACAATTCTCGTCGACGTTTTTCTTGATTCAAACTAAAACAACCTTGCCTTCAAATGAATTCACTCGTAATTTTTTGCTATTGTATACCTTCGTGGGATATAGAAATTTCGATTATCAATCTGACCGGTTGTTCTCATCGTATTGGACATTTTCTCTAACAGGATGCGATTATCACGTTCGATTGTTGCTGTGCGTTCCTCTTGTAACTAAGTAAACAGAAAAATCGAGTTGACATGTCATGTGGAAGAAACGAGCTGCTACTTGAAGTTTTTTCAATTTCATATGAAGATGCATATATGTTTGTGGAGGACGCGTATCGATGCTTGGCCGCGCATCGCGTACCTAAAATTGCGAATTTCGTCATGAAAAGGCGAGATAGTTGATAATGAAATTACAAGAATTCGATGTTCATCGTAATATTTGTCGTCCCATTTTTTCTTCAAGAGTCGGTTGGAAGCGGGAAGTGTTGACTGATATGATTTATGCATGTGTTAGAGAAAGAAAATCGATGTCTTGTTCTCTTCGAGGATTATGAAGTGTGCGTGTGATCAGAAGAACAATAGTATTTTGCCTATACTGTTAGCTATGTAAACAGTTGCTTTGACAATTGAGGAATTATGAAAAAATTCTCACAACGATAGATGACTCGCGTTTTCAGTTAACAGTTGTTGAGAGACTGCGACGATTGAAAGCCTTCGCTGAAGAAGATACAACGAGTCAATGGATTGAAGCAGACAAGCAGTTATTTTAACTTCGAGTCAGATTCTATTTTTTCCGAAAAGGCAAATCAAATAACTCGTTTGAGAATGCAGAGACTTCCGCAAGACTGATTTTGTCATATATAATTAAGCTCGAATGACATAGAAAAAATGTCGAACTCAATGATCCGAACAGATTGATAATAAAAAACTTTCCGACGAGAAAGTTACTATAATCTTTTCTTGAAAACGAAACCACCCTTCGCGTTCAATTTTATTCTTGCATAGGCAATACTTATTTTGTTTCAATCGAAAGAAAAGGAAAAAAGAACTTGAATAAGAAAGTCATGAAATAGTAGCGATAACAGAGTTATTTCAAGAAGAAAATGAGGCACACACACACACACACACACACATACACATAGAAAGAGAATCAAATGAGTCGATATAGAAATATTCGGTTTCTCTCAAAAGACAAGCTATACAGAGGAGGATCACTTTGTCAAGAGAACATGCACATACAGAGATAATTGCACAATATTGTCATTGGAAAAGGGATACATTGCAACAAGTTTGGACTAAATATATGTTAAAGATCCACCGGCTGAAGAGAAAAAAAATTGTACTGTCCAATCATTGTCATCAAAATACATGGAAGTTATAAGCATAGAAAAAGAAACGATGAGTTACATAAAAAGAAGAACGAAAAGAAGAGAAAGAAAAGCTGTTTACCCATTTGAATACAAACAAAATAAAAACAAGATATTGACCTAAGAGTTATCGAACAATGATAACTGTGCTATTTAACGGCATTGGCTGTTTCTTCGAACTAAAATTTAAAACGAAATCATCGTGGAATTCAGTCACTGACAAATCCACATACCATTTCACATCGAAACAATAACACAAGACAACACAGTTACAAAAGCAATTCGAATTATTTCTCGCTTACATGTAATCTTTGCATAATAGTTAGATAAGCTTGCGAATTCAAATCTTTTTCTTGAACGCCTTGCAATTCAAAGCTACCGTGAGTTTTCTAAAGCAACACACGGCGATTTTCATCGAAATCAAACTTTTTCTCCTCGAATCTTACTTTAACAATCAGTAGTAAACAAGCTAATTGGTAGGGATGAAGACTAATTTCTGTCCGCTCGCCAAGCCATGTGAAAATAAAATGTGTTTGTTGTCGATACCATTCCTAAATCGATCAAATTCTCATTCCGTGTTCGAATGCTTTTCGCTTCTTACTTCAAATATGTTCAATGTAAAGATTTCATCACTAACTTTCTGCCTTAATTGCTCTAGATTTGCATTTACACATGATACGTATGCTTGTCCATCTTCATTAATTGGTTTCTATCATTCAAAAGTCCGCCGTAGAAAGACAAATGTTCAATCAAAAGTCTTACCGTTAATGAAAGAATTTGAGCAAAAAACGATCCTTCATCGTAACGTGAAAGTTTCTTTAAGACAGAATCCAAAACGCTAACTAATTTCTGGATCAATGCTCGTGACATTTCACCCAAGATTTTCTCAAGATACTCATCAATACGTGTATGATATTGATGCAAATCACCACTATGCAATGCACATAATTTCAATGCCTGGATGAAAATTCAATCTGACATGATGTAGATCGAGGCAAGAATCGACTCACTTGAGCTTTACAATCGAGAATAACATTGACCATGACACAGCATTCGGATGGTAGTAAATAGTCAGAATTTGTTCCACCAATCAGTCCGCCTTTCTTAATCCAGATTTCGAAATGTCGTGAGACTCTAAACAAGAATGATCGAATTTTCCCTATGCAAAACTGCTCCTCTTGAAAAACGATTATTAAAGAACTGAAATAATTTAATGAACCGAGAACAAAAGAGAAAGAATTCCTTTTATCGTTCAAGTAGAAAGTACAAAGAGACATTAAAGAGTAATTGATACTTGGCGGAAAACATGCACATAGATGTATATGACTAACCTCTTTCCACACGCTTCAATCATATCCGAGGCCATTTGTTTCAATCGCTTCTCCAAATGTTCTCCGAACATTTCATCGGGCTAGAAATTTGAAATCTTCATTGTGAAAGAACATCTTTGTTTTCGTTAGATTTCATACCCAATGCAAATCTCGAATGAAACATTGTAAAGCATCAAGTTTCCATAGCATATCTTCACTTGTTGCACATCCACGACTAAATCAAATTTCATAATTTGCACATCAACGAACCACTCGGCTGCCTTACGTTCGAGCTTTCCAATTTTCCTTCTCAAAACCTTTGTGAATCGATTGCGCTATGCAAGATTCCATCAGGTCAACGTAACGAATAACTAATGGAGCAAATGTATCACGTAATTGTTGATGAAAACGACCGTTGGACAACGAATCTAAATGAAACACTCAATTCCGGTTTGCAGATCGTTTTTTCCTGCTTTACCGTGTACACGAAGATAATCGTTCAGCAGTTGAAACAGTGGAAATGAGTCCCAACTTTCAATTGGCTGCTGATCGATGACATGTTCCATGTCAACAGCAAATAACGACCAGAAGATTTCTTCATGTTCGATTAATAGATCATTGTATTGTTGGAATGCTTCTTGATAATGTTCGGAATCTTGTTGTAATAGTTCAATACATAATTCAGCTAAATGTATCAGATCATCGATTTTCTTTCGTGGAGAATCATCGGTATTGTAAATTGTTTCTAGAAGATAAGAGAATGCACTCAGTACAGATGTTCATTTCGAGAAAAATGTGAAATATAGGGTGAGACAACATGCATTTAGAACAACAACAACAACAACAAATGAGGGAGGCATCGAACATTTACCATTATCATTTTGTTGTTGAATCTCTCGTTCTCCTGGAAAAAGAGAGATGATGAAAAGAAAGTTTTGAGTAGAGAAGCAATGCTTTTTACAAGTTATATCAATGAGAAAGGATTCGAACCAATTACCTTCGATTTTCGCTTGGTCAGATACGCGAGTGTAGTTGGTGTACGCCGCATTTTCGAGACATTTACGAATAAAAAACCGAATTTCATCACGAGATATGGGAGCGGAAATATCTTTAGTAAGGACACGTTCCAGTAAACTTAACGTGGCTTTTAATGCACCTTCAGGACGACCGAATGGAAATGCAAATCTAAATAAACGCATTTCTGTACACATCGTCCTATAGAACCAATCTCATTTACCTGAAACTCGTTACTTGATGTTCAAGAAACAATCTCAGCCGTTCTTTTATTTCATTAAATCGATCTTTTTCTTCCATCGTAACTGTTGACGCGCTACTATCCGGCCTACGGGAAACACGGTTTCATGCCATCATTTCACTTTCAAATATCTATCTTTACTGCTTACCGACTTCCTGAGACATGTGAAGCACAAAAGACATAACTATAATGAAGTAATTGTGGGTCAATCATAAATCCTTGTTCGGCACGATCGAGTAAATCATTCAGATAATAGAGATGTCTTAAACATCCACGAACACCGTATCGGGAACAGTATTCTACAGATGAAAATCGTTTATTTCCAACCTTTCAATAGCTTAGAGTATTACCTTCGAGTACGTAGCTTTGGCCCGGACTTAACCAGCCCTGTGAAAGAAAAAAAGTGATGTTAATTTGAACCTCGTATCTATTATTTTATTCATCATCACCCGAACCTATTTGCTTAGTAAACAAAGCTGTTCGACTTACTGTCAGTATGTTAACTCTTCATTTTCAAAGAATAAAAAGAGTTCGATTCAACTCAGTAGGGTCAATTCGATACTTACCAACGAACAGTAAGGATCACTGAGTCGAAAGTCTAATGTTGCTGTTTGCAGTGTCTTGAACAAGTCGTGATGATCAAATTTACATGGATCACTTTGAATGTATTCATCAAAACCAAGTTTTTTCGATCGATCTGCGTCTGTGAACGCAAACAGGAATGATTAAAAACAACAATGAAATGTTTCGGTTTACCTTGTTGATCTTTCTGTCCTGCAGTTCCAGCTCCTTGCGAAGATTTATTGGTTGCAGTGACAGGTGGTGTTGGCTTGTGCGATTGACCTGTTGCACGATATAGTGCTTGCACCCAACTATGTCGCTCATTTTCTTCGTTGGTTGCAAATGTTACAACATCCCCTTCGCGGACAGCCTTGAAGAAGTACTTGGCATCTTGCATAACTAATCCTATAGAATCATCAAGGTTTTAGTGGCTCGAACGGTACATTCATGTGTAATCCATTACCATTATCTGGCTCGGCATAATCGACAGTATATCCTTCGAGTGGCATCATTTCGGTTGGTTCCGATTTCTTTTCACGATAACTACACGTAGCAAAACAATATTGAGAAACCTAAAGGAATGATTTGTAATAATCAATTGAACAAAACGTTCTTGACAGCCGAATAGGAAAAGCAATCACATTTTATTACACCAGGGATTGACTATTGAACTCGGTTAACTTCGAGAGAAAATTTTCTTATCGAAGTTCAAAGAAGTCTCAACCTGATCAAAAATGAACGATCGTTTTTAATTGTCTCAAGGCATCGGCTACGCCTTCCTTCGAAGCATTGATAACAGACTTACCTGAACAAGTGCATAGTATCGTCGTTTCCATGATTTCCAAACATTTTTACCACGAGCATAGCACCAACTACGAAACAACGAATGCAAATCTCATCGATCGTCTTGAAAACGTCGATACATACCCACACATTTTTAAATTCTGTGGTTTTTCCATTCGTACATCTAGTTTAACTTTCAATTCTTCAGTTATTGTATTTTTACACTTAACCATATCGATCCACCAGTTGGTTTTATTGAACGTTGGATCGATTTGTAGCGATAATTTACCGAGTTTATTATCATCTAAACTGAGTATACCTGGATTTTCCATATAGAGTTTAACTTTGATAATCGGTAAAATTTGATTCGTAGGAAATTCAGCTAATGACTCCCAAACAGGTTTACCCGCTTCAGCATGTTCGGTACGATACTTTTCTCCGCCTTCNCATCTGCTTCTATATGAGTTTTACCATTCAAGAACGCGAGAAATCTTTCTTTGATAACACCATATTGAACAAGAGTTATTTTCAAATGTTTTCTTGCCATATCTGACGATTGCTTGGAATTGAATGGACATGCAACACAACGACATATGAATACATAGACTTGGAGACGTTTTCGTTTCAATTCGAGTTCACGTTCAACACGTTCATTTTCTTCACGTTCACGTTCACTAATCAACGATGGTGATGGTGATGGAGCACGATCGACAGGTATGCCCGTACTGGACGCTGTCGTACCTGTTGACGAGCTCGCGGTAGTTGCTAATGTTTTCGATAGATTACTGGTATTTTGATTGGTTGCGGCGGTTGTTGTCGGCTGTGGGGAACGTGTTTTTGTCAATGAGCTTTGTTGTTGAGATGGATGTAAATGTCCTTCGGAGAATGTCGATGAATCATCGCTTTTGATACTTGTGGTATCGGTATTGAAAAGCATTGATGAATTCTGTGTTTCAGGGAAAAGATTCGTATTTGTCGATGAACGCAAAGAGGCTGATGGGGAATTATTAGCTGAGGTGGGAATTTTCGGTAGTGTACGTTGTGTTGGCGTCGATGGTGCATGGAAATTAGCTTGTGGAGAAAAATGAGTCGGTGTAGTTTTTGATGTGGGTGATGAATGTTCAGAGCGAGATGTTAATACAGGTGAGCCAGTATTAACATGATTTGCGGTTGGCCGATTTAATGCAGCTACTGGACGATTAACGGGTGGCTAAAAGAATATTTTCGATGAATTTGATTTTACTTTTGAGAAAATGAGCAAATTGAACTTACATTGTTTACCACTTTCTTGTTAACTGCACCTCCACCACCTTCATCCTCATCACTGGAATCATGCAACATAATTCGTAATATTCATTATTCGTTATTATGTGATTTTCTCAAGACAAAAAATCTCGAATATATCTCTCTGAATCGAGAAGAAAATCATTCTTTTGTCCAAAGTTAAAAAAAATCAATTATCGTTCTATTTTTTCTAGAATAAACAATAAAATAAACTTTCGAATTCCATATTTATCTGAGAAAAAGAAGCAAAGAAGTCCTTTTCCATGTCAATACCTATGTTAGCACGAACATCATTAACACTTATAAGAGATATACAAGACTATTACCTAAAAACTCTTATTAATGTCAGAAATTGAAATCCTTCTGTCTCTTCATTTCCTAAGCTGGTTTTCTTCTTCTTCTTCATTCTTTCTCTTCACTAATGCTGCTTGTTGTTATTGTTGCTTGACAGATCTCACGAGCGCATGCGTGTGCTTTTTCGTCACTCGTTTCCATTGTCTCTCAAGAGAATAATTAAATTAGATGACGCGAAACGACGAAAAGACCAACATCGATGACAGCATGACAAAAGAAATTCCTGGACATTTATTTTTCAATTTAACGATGAACAGATGGAATGAGAACGACATCTCGCCATTCGAGAGAAACGAAAACGAGAGAAATTCATCTTACCTGATGTCTTCTGCTCATTGTTGATCTCTTTATTACATTTACCTTTCTATCCTATCAGTCTCATCTTTACATCACATCTCGTATATCAATAGTAAAAACAACATGCGTTCGAGGTGCTCGCACACAAGCATTCAGACGCATAAACTCAGTTCTCTTAGTTTTTCTTCTTGTTCGTCTGCATATTTTTCTCTTGTCGTTTGCAAACGATGCTTTGTCATCGAAGGAAAAGAGAGCGAGAGAAAAAAAATGAGAGGAATAGAGCAATGAGAGTAGGGAATTAGTTACTGGCATTGCATCCATCCAAAGTAAAAAGAACTGAAAAGAAGAAGAAGAAGAAGAAAAAAAAAGAAACGAGAAAACCACCATCACTATTACAATTACTATATACGTTACCTTCATGATGCTGATTACGCTTAGTCAGGTTTTTGTTCGAATGCGCGTGCATGCAGTTGAACTTATTACAAGAGAGAAATCTCAATCTGACTTGTCAACAGAAAGAAAAAAAAATGAGTTGATCATCTCATCAATATGAATGATGACAAAATCGAACTGTTGTCAGTAAAATTAGACGAGAGAAATATTCTGCATGTTAGACTCTCGGTTTTGCTTCCTCAACATCGACATTGCCAATGATGAACTGAAAAGAAAATAGATACAGGAAGAATGACAAGAATTGCTAATCGATTAGATGCAAATCTTTCTCAATAGAAAGACAGTTGCTGAGACGAAACGATCAAGGAAATGAAATACTACTCGCTAGTTAAAGACAAAAACACATACAGAAGAAGAATATTAAAAATCGTCACTTTTCATTTCTTTCTCCGACCTTCTTATTGCATATATTGATGATTATTTAATAATAAATTAATGTCAGAAATTATTGTAATAGTTGTGTATAGGAATACATATATACGCACTCATCTTAATAGCAATTATCGACCTTGATATACGAACAAAGAACTAATCTCAATGAATACCCATTATATCAACCCGACTTCTTGTTTTAATACTATTTTTTCCACATACGCGCACCTGATTAATAAAAGTAGACAATTCCGGTATACCTGTCGCATGATTGTCTAACAAAGATGAAAGAACGAAGAAGTAAAAAATAGAAAAAAANACCTTCATCTGCTTCTATATGAGTTTTACCATTCAAGAACGCGAGAAATCTTTCTTTGATAACACCATATTGAACAAGAGTTATTTTCAAATGTTTTCTTGCCATATCTGACGATTGCTTGGAATTAAATGGACATGCAACACAACGGCATATGAATACATAGACTTGGAGACGTTTTCGTTTCAGTTCGAGTTCACGTTCAACACGTTCATTTTCTTCACGTTCACGTTCACTAATCAACGATGGAGATGGTGATGGAGCACGATCGGCAGGTATGCCCGTACTAGACGCTGTCGTACCTGTCGACGAGCTCGCGGTAGTTGCTAATGTTTTCGATAGGCTGCTGGTATTTTGGTTGATTGTGGCAGTTGTCGTCGGCTGTTGGGAACGTGTTTTTGTCAATGAGCTTTGTTGTTGAGATGGATGTAAATGTCCTTCGGAGAATGTCGATGAATCATCACTTTTAATACTTGTGGTATCGGTATTGAAAAGCATTGATGAATTCTGTGTGTCAGGAAAAAGATTCGTATTTGTCGATGAACGCAAAGAGGCTGACGGGGAATTATTAACTGACGTGGGAATTTTCGGTAGTGTACGTTGTGTTGGCGTCGATGGTGCATGGAAATTAGCTTGTGGAGAAAAATGAGTCGGTGTAGTTTTTGATGTGGGTGATGAATGCTCGGAGCGAGATGTCAATACAGGTGAACCAGTATTAACATGATTTGCGGCTGGCCGATTTAGTGCAGCTACTGGACGATTAACGGGTGGCTAAAAGAAAATTTTCGATGAATTTCATTTTGCTTTTGAGAAAATGAGCAAATTGAACTTACATTGTTTACCACTTTCTTGTTAACTGCACCTCCACCACCTTCATCCTCATCACTGGAATCATGCAACATAATTTGTGATATTCATTATTCGTTATTATGTGATTTTCTCTAGACAAAAAATCTCGAACATATCTCTCTGGATCGAGAAGAGAACCATTCTTTTGTCCAAAGTTAAAAAATCAATTATCGTTCTATTTTTTTCTAGAATAAACAATAAAATGAACCTTCGAACTCCATATTTATCTGAGAAAAAAAGAAGAAAAGAAATCCTTTTCCATGTCAATACCTATGTTAGCACGAACATCATTAACACTTATAAGAGATATACAAGACTATTGCTTAAAAACTCTTATTAATGCCAGAAATTGAAATCCTTCTGTCTCTTCATTTCCTAAGCTGGTTTTCTTCTTCTTCATTCTTTCTTTTCACTAATGCTGCTTGCTGTTATTGTTGCTTGACAGAGCTCACGAGCGCATGCGTGTGCTTTTTCGTCACTCGTTGCCATTGTCTCTCAAGAGAATAATTAAATTAGATGACGCGAAACGACGAAAAGACCAACATCGATGACAGCATGACAAAAGAAATTCCTGGACATTTATTTTTCAATTTAACGATGAACATATGGAATGAGAACGACATCTCGCCATTGGAGACAAAAGAAAACGAGAGAAATTCATCTTACCTGATGTCTTCTGCTCATTGTTGATCTCTTTATTACATTTACCTTTCTATCCTATCAATCTCATCTTTACATCACATCTCGTATATCAATAGTAAAAGCAACATGCGTTCGAGGTGCACGCACACAAGCATTCAGACGCATAAACTCAGTTCTCTTAGTTTTTCTTCTTGTTCGTCTGCATATTTTTCTCTTGTCGTTTGCAAACGATGCTTTGTCATCGAAGGAAAAGAGAGCGAGAGAAAAAAAAATGAGAGGAATAGAGCAATGAGAGTAGGGAATTAGTTACTGGCATTGCATCCATCCAAAGTAAAAAGAACTGCAAAGAAGAAGAAGAAGAAAAAAGAAACGAGAAAAACCACCATCACTATTACAATTACTGTATACGTTACCTTCATGATGCTGATTACGCTTAGTCAGTTTTTTGTTCGAATGCGCGTGCATGCAGTTGAACTTATTACGAGAGAGAAATCTCAATCTGACTTGTCGACAGAAAGAAAAAAAAATGAGTTGATCATCTCATCAATATGAATGATGACAAAATCGAACTGTTGTCAGCAAAATTAGACGAGAGAAATATTCTGCATGTTCGACTCTCGGTTTTGCTTCCTCGACATCGACATTGCCAATGATGAACTGAAAAGAAAATAGATACAGGAAGAATGACAAGAATTGCTAATCGATTAGATGCAAATCTTTGTCAATAGAAAGACAGTTGCTGAGACGAAACGATCAAGGAAATGAAATACTACTCGCTAGTTAAAGACAAAAACACATACAGCAGAAGAATATTAAAAATCGTCACTTTTCATTTCTTTCTCCGACCTTCTTATTGCATATATTGATGATTATTTAATAATAAATTAATGTCAGAAATTATTGTAATAGTTGTATATAGGAATATGTATATACGCACTCATCTTAATAGCAATTATCGACCTTGATATACGAACAAAGAACTAATCTCAATGAATACCCATTATATCAACCCGACTTCTTGTTTTAATACTATTTTTTCCACATACG